AGGACAAAAACACTGAACATGTTTTCCTAATGTTATTAAAATGCTAAACTTTGAGCCTCAGTTGTCCAATACCATAGAGTCTAGCCCAGTTTAAATACTCCAGCAGAGCACAGAATATGCTCAGGACTCAGAACCATGTTCCTATGTAAACAGAAGAAAAGAGAAAGATTTCATTCAGCTCCCACCAAACTGGGGACTTTCTCCTCCTTATTCCCGGCCCCTTTTCCTTGGCCCCCCATCATTTGCTCAATTATCACCGCAACTTATTAAAACACTTGTCAGAACATCACAAAGCAAGCATGAGCTGCCCAGACCATCTGGTCAAAAGTGAGTGATTAACTGCTCTGATCCTCCTACTCAGCACCATCTGGTGGTCATGGTCTCCAATGAAAAGCTTGCTTTATTTCCAAAGTGTTAAGGTTCCTGCGTGCACTTTGAGAGGGTTAGATTGAGGGCTGGGATTTCAAAGGAGCTCAAATCCCACTGATTTGAATATGAAAGGGGTGATCTTTGTGTAAATAAGAACAAGGCCCAAATAAGAATGTGAATGAAATATAGCTAGATGGATAGAGTTCATTCAAATGTTGTAAATACACAATTTTCTTATCAATGTACAAATGTATGCAATGTCTCTAAAAACAAGTACTTTCTATTAATTGGTCTGAAATAAACGGATTTGGTGATTTTTTTCCGGCCACATGGCACAAGACATCTGTTTGAGAGGGATTTTGGAGAGCATTGAAGGCATATTTCCTAGAGCAATGAAGGGGTGGAAAGGAGGCTGTGTAGGTAGCTGGCTGGGAGAATTCCTTTCTGAATTGTTTATTTCAATGCTGCTAGCATTTCATTATACTAGTAATTATGTTATGGTGCCAGAGCCACATAGAGATATGTTTCCAATATGTAAATCTGAATAAATAAATGAAATACATGATCTCTGCTCTTGGCTTATGTTGATCTCCTGCTGGGGGAAAAAATGGACTCTTTTGGACACCACAGAGAAGCATCAATATGGTGAAAAACTGAGAGAATTTTCTTTTGTTTTAAAGAATGAAGAACTAGACCATAGACAGTTCAATGTGGCAGGTTTTTCATAGGATGTAAAATGTGGTCTGTGAACTAGTACAATTGGAAGGCCAGCATCTTTTGCATATCCATGGAGATCAAGAAAAGGTGATGGTACACAAGAGTGCATGGAAGGTTATCCTATTTATGTGGGGGTATAGTGGAGCGAAGAGAAAATGACTATAGTATCCTACTTTGCTACAGCATGACTCAGTACTCAACTGCTCTTACATAAGCCGTAGAGCTGAATTAAAATGGCCAAGAGCTTGGCTAATGAACATGACATGTGCTAGCAGGGATTTGATTGCTTCTTATAACAAAAATAAAATTGCTTCTGTTCCCAGTTTATGTTGCAGAAGTCAGTCAAGATCTTGTCCAGCAGACTGAGGAAAAACTTGAAATCAGCCCCTGCAAAGAGCTGTTTTCTCACTGTGCAAAGTAAGTATAACTTGACTTCTAAAGATCACAGCATTACAGTGGTCAGACTTGTAGAAGAGCATGTCAGATAAGGGGAAGAATTTTAATTTGAATCTGCAGCTTGCATTTTCTTAAATTCACATTCATATTCTCAGACAAGTGATGAAATTATTTCATCTGTATAAAATACAGTAAATATTTCCATTCCACTATACAGAGTACATACAGGAACTTAGTGTTTCAGGTATTTGACAGAATGTTCTAGCCAAGTAAACCAGCCCTAGACTTCATGCTGTGTGGAAAGAGGTACAATGATAATGAATCCAAAGAAAACATCTCTGTTTCAAAGTGAATAGAAATTAAGTGGTTATACAGTCCGTTTAGACTCAAGAATGTGCAAACTTTGCCCGCATAGCTTTTCCTGAAAACATTCAACAAAAGGATGGAGCTTTAAAAAAAATCAGTTTGTCTATGAAGTAGAAATGCCTGTGCACTATTTAATCCTTTTGTCCAGGAAAAGGCTTATCAGTTTTGCAGAGATGAAGCAATTGTGTTATTGTGTCCTAAAGTTCCCAGTATGCAATTTGCATTTGCAAATACTGATCATTGTATGTTTAGTGGCAGCAGATCATAAACTAACAAAAATACGCAAAGGAGGTATCATCTGAAACAGACCCATGCGGTCTCTGGCTGAGCACATTTTGTTTTCCCTAGCTGATGTAATGGGGATTTGTAAAATGTGCTCTGCTGTCATTCACTCTTCTGGCTCCTGTTATTGACCTGTTCTACTTTCAGTTGTGCTTTGCATTGGGGAAAGGTGTGGATTACTTCTGGCCCTCTGTTATAACAAATTGGTTTACTTGCAATTGCTTCAGTCTCATGTCCATTGGGATATTGACATAATTTATCACCACTGTGTGCACGAGTCCTGATGATGACAAAGGCAGGGCTGTGCTTGATGTAAATAATCTGATGTTGGGTTCTGTTTCTGAAACCACTTTCAACCCTGATAATTTTACTGTAAAATTAATTTTGTTGATGCTGACATGGGGAACAAAAAAAGCAAGTAACTAGTGAAAGGCAGCCCTTGTTCATTACAGTGCGTGAAACTTTTAATGATTAGATGGCTGGCTTTGGATGCCACTTAGTTGAGGCAGAATTCAGAAGAGTTTGAGATAGTTGGCTAATTTATCCGCTTCATTTCATAAATGTTTATGAAGCCTCAGTCATTAAAAATGATGATCATTTCATTTTGAGTGGAATAGGCTCAAAAGGAAGCTTTAAATACTTGCTGTTCATGTCTGCTAAAAGTATTGAACCAGGTTAATTTTGTAAGTGTGCATAGTTAAACTCAGAACAGGGAAATCACATACACAAATGTGATATTTTCCTGCCTTTATGTGTTGTAACAAGAATTTATTTCAAATACATCTGTGGACCCTACCACTGTAGGTGTATCTTGTGGGGTCTAGGTATGTGTGTGGGGGGGGGTTCCTTTTTGGTGGTAACCTGCTAATACTGCAATTTTCTTCTGTAAACTACACTTCTGAGGGAAAATATTTCCTGTCATTGAGATATATATATCACATGACCTTTGTGTCTTATCAAAACTCACCAAGACCACTTGAATTTGAACTTTGAATGTAAAATACTGACAACTGCTCATTTACAATCTACAGAATTAGAATTTCTAGGAAATAATTTCAAACCATCAGAAAAATCCAGAATATTAAAAATGGCTCATGTGCAATTAGTGAATGGAGAAGAGCTAAATTCAGGAAGTAAATTTTTAAAAGTGAATAATTTGCTCATCTGTACAACTGTATAAGATAATAAAAAGACCTAGGTCAAAAGACAGATTGTTCCTCAATGGGAAATGCCATAGAAATGTTTCCTTTCTCTCAGAGCTGCAGAGAGGTGCTTGTGCAATGTCTTCATTGCCAGCGGGTTTACACCAGTACTTTTCTGGATGTCATTTTCTGTCTCTGAACGGCTTTCTTTTTTAAATTACAGTGGATTTGGCTAGAAAACTGCACTGATTCCATTGCACTGGCTGGCCACAAGGCAAGACTAGTTCCAGCAGCTATCAGAGGAGCCTTGATTGACTAATCTTTAGACTGTATATGATTATGAGCTTCCTTTTTCCCCCCTCAAATAACTCTGGACCACTTGAGATGTGGTTCTGAGGCTGGGGAAGAACAACTCTCATTCCCATCGCTGTGTCTCTTCCACTCAGTGGTGATGGCCTGCCAGCAGAAGCACAATCACACCACCCAGCAGCAACTTGAGGGCAGGACAGCAACCAGCCATACTACAGCAGACCATGCACATCACTGCCTGAGGCCCATCTTATCTTATTTCTGTCAGCCTTGCCCCATCAGCCAGTCTGACAGAACTTTCCTTTGCCTGTAGTCCCTGGCTGCTGGTCACACAATAATTCCCTGACATGTGTAAACTGACTTTCTACCAAAGCTTTGCATCATAGTCCCTGGCTGCCGGTCACACAATAATTCCCTGACGTGTAAACTGACTTTCTACCAAAGCTTTGCATCCACTATGTGACCACCTAAGGCCCCTTCCTGACACAGGTCCACATACACAAGCTCACCCCTACTTTCTTCATTTGTTTCATTCTACTAGCAGGATAGCTGTTGGGCAGAGTCCTCTGGCCTAATACAGTCATGTTTGGCTTTCTTTGGACTAAAAATACTTCTTCCCAAAAGCATAAACTAAGACTGATTCCTTTGCTTTTGCTAACTGCATCCCTGGTGGTCACCCAGGAACTGAGATGTCATGCTAGAAAACCTCATTCACTAAAAATGCTACAAAGTTTGAGTCCCTATCTGAACATCCCCCACAGTTCAGGAAGATTGGCTCCTGAGGGGTTAGGTTTGGACCCTTCCTCAATTTATCAACTGTCCTAGTAGCCTAATCAAAAAGTCCATTAAAGGCAATGGAAAGTCAATGGAAACCTTTCCGTTGCCTTCAGTAGCCTTTGGTCAAAGATCTACATGCCCGTTACATGTGACTTCACTGTAAGCTACCATTATTGTCTCCTCTTGGGGCCAGCCAGCTGAAATGCCACTGTCAAACCAACCATAGCCACCCCTGGTGTTACATGAGTACTACACATGGGGAGGTTCCATGCACAAGACACATTATTCCAATCTAACTCCTACCTGCTTAAAACCAGGAGTAAAACAAGATGGAAATAAATGAAGCCGCATTGCTTTAGAGCAGGGGTGAACAATAAAGCAGCTTCTGGGCCAGATGTGGTTTGTCAGGCTTAGCCCCTGGCAAGCCACTAGTCACTTTATTAACTTGAGTATCCTCAGGTATGTCTGCCTGCAGCTCCTATTGGCCATGGTTCACTGTTCCTGGCCATTGGGAGCTGCAGGAAGTGATGGAAGCTTCCCATACTTTCCATTGGCCAAGAAAGGCAAACCACGGCCAGCGGGAACTGAAAGCAGCCAAACCTCTGGATGCTTAAGTAAATAAAGCATCTGGCGGCTTGCCATGGGCTAAACCTGGTGAACCACATCTTGTCCATGGGTCACTTATTGCCCACCCCTGCTCTAGAGCAAGACTGGAATTCCTTAGGTTTGGGGTTTGTTGGTTTTTTAGTTCAGGATTATAAAATGCTTATATATCTTTTTCATCTGAGACAGATCTGTCCTTGACTACCTAAGTGGAGAGCCATTTCAAGAATACCTAGACAGCATGTACTTCGATAGGTTTCTGCAGTGGAAGTGGTTGGAAAGGTAAGCACGGCTGTTTTAAAAAATACATGTTTTCAGTTTCTATGCAAAACTAGCAGACTGGGGGTCAAAAAAGCATGTGTTGTTCCCACTGGTTTTTAAATCAAAGGCAGCATTTGGCCATATCTTTGAGTTAAGAACCAGTTAAGAATGCAAACTTACAAAAGGTGAAGATGGGGGAGGAGGGAATGACAAAGTATTTTGGTGAGAATTTATCTTACCATGCAGACATCTACTAGATCTCCCCTCCCACCAGTTTTCCCTCTTGCCTCCTAGACACCACATAACCGCTCTCAGATTTTGTTCCCTTCCATACTCCCTTCCCCTGAGCTGTGATTCGGGATCTCCATTCTTCTCCAGCTTCCCCAAGCTTAATATTTGGTCATAAGTGCCCATTGTTAAAAAGATTTAAAAAACAAATTTAGGCTTTATCCTGCAGAACAAAATCAGATAAGAATCTTACCTTGGTGCTAGATCCCAAATCGACTAATCGATGGATTTTCTATCAACTAGTCAATTAGTCAACAAGCAGGGAGTCACAGCTGGGTTAGCTCCTAGCCGGGGAGATAATCCACCACAACTCTGCCTTTTAAATGTATTAAGAGCCTGTCAACTTAAATGTATTAGGAGCTTGCTGATGGGGGGAGCAACTAGTCAAGGGACTAGGCAAGTGACCAATAAGCTTTTGCTTATCAGATAGTCGACTAGTCTCTTAGGGTATGTCTACACTACCCTCCTATTTCAAAATAGGAGGGTAATGTAGGCATACCACAATTGCAAATGAAGCCCGGGAAATTCAAATCCCGGGCTTCATTTGCATCTTCCTGGGCACCGCCATTTTTAAATGTCCCTTAGTCTGAACTCTGTGCCCGCAGCTACACGCGGCACGGAGTAGGTAGTTCGAATTAGGATCTCTAATTCGAACTACTGTTACTCCTCGTGGAACGAATTAGGATCTCTCCTCGTGGAACGAGGTGTACCGGTAGTTCGAATTAGAGATCCTAATTCGAACTACCTACTCCGTGCCGCGTGTAGCTGCGGGCACAGAGTTCGGACTAAGGGACATTTAAAAATGGCGGTGCCCAGGAAGATGCAAATGAAGCCCGGGATATTTAAATCCCGGGCTTCATTTGCATCTTCCTGGGCACCGCCATTTTTAAATGTCCCTTAGTCTGAACTCTGTGCCCGCAGCTACACGCGGCACGGAGTAGGTAGTTCGAATTAGGATCTCTAATTCGAACTACTGTTACTCCTCGTGGAACGAATTAGGATCTCTCCTCGTGGAACGAGGTGTACCGGTAGTTCGAATTAGAGATCCTAATTCGAACTACCTACTCCGTGCCGCGTGTAGCTGCGGGCACAGAGTTCGGACTAAGGGACATTTAAAAATGGCGGTGCCCAGGAAGATGCAAATGAAGCCCGGGATATTTAAATCCCGGGCTTCATTTGCAATTGCGGTATGTCTACATTACCCCGCTAGTTCGAACTAGCGGGGTAGTGTAGACATACCCTTACATCCCTAGTCTACACCAACCATACCCAAGATAGCAGTAGACCTCCTCATACATACACAGATGCAGGATTAATCTCTTCCCCTTCCCTCAAAATAGTGAGATTATGTTTACACTACAGTGATACCAAAGCCCAGCTCCAGCACTGTAGACAAGCCATTGTGGTATAGATGATTCTTGGGGTTTCTCCATTGATGAAGATAATCCACCTCTCCAAGGAGTGGACAAGCTATGTCTGTGGAACACGTCTTCTGCTCATCTTGCTGCATCTACAGTACATTGACCCAAATGTGCTGTGAGATAGCTAGATTGATTTAATATTTAGGTTTAGATGAGGCTATTGTGAAGCCAGAGGCCATAGAAAACATCTCAGGAGGATGCATTGCTTCTCGGGTTGTGCACTGCAGACATATAAGATGAGATTTTCAAAGCTGTTTGAGGAATTTGGACACCCAATTCCTATTAAAATTAATGAGTGTCAAAATTTACTTATGCGGGTTTAAAAATCTCTGCCCGAATAGTTACTGTGCTCCCTGTCACAAAAAGTTATTCATTGGAGACACTGGGTTGCAAATATATTTAATGACCCATTTTAGTAGATGCTTGTGTCTATGATGCAAAGTTTTTGATGTGTGTCAAGTCTCCACTTTTCACATTTGCAAACAGCGTAAGCTATGCTCAACCAGATTCAGAACCAGGTAATAAAACAGAAAAACACCCTCGCTCTGGTTATTGTATTGAAATATTTAACTTCCAGTACATTGCATACCATTAAATAAAATCCTGCAATTTGAGCTGCTTTTCTGCATAACTAACCTCTGAATGCTGATGACCAAGACAGATCTACAATAAGTTTTTGGAGGACCTGCTATTTCTGTTTTTATAAAACAAAGGAAAATCCAGCATGTGTGTTCACAAGCCAAATGTATTAGATACACATTTCCAGGCACACTTCGTTTTCAGGAATCTTTAGGGGCTTTGACCTGCCAAGACAAAGAAAAGTGGTTTCTTTGTTGGCTGGTACCTCAGCGGATTTGTGCTGCTGGCTAATGGTGGCTGTCACTCTGAGTTAAAGGAATTTCACACTTTCCACAAACTGAATGAAAAGAGAAGATTTAGGGGCAGATTCCCAGCTTATGTAAATCAGCAAAATTCAGATGAAATCAACAAAGCTGTGCCAATGGCACCGGCAAAAATCTAGCTCTTAAAATAAATAACAGTTTGACTGATGGTTCACCATTTCAGAATAGTGCATGGCAAATTCCACATGAAAACCCCTGCATTCAGTGTTCATCGTTATGCTCTATTTTCTTTCTTCCACTTAAACTGAAAAAGATCAGATGTTTCCTATCAAGTCTGACCTTTTTCAGTCTTCTTTTCACATCTAGGATTTGGAATTCTGTCAAATGCATTGAAGAGTTTTATTTCTCCCCTTAAAAATAAACTTGACAAGATATTAGATGAGCCCACTCAGTTTAGGAAACCGAAAAGCACTTTCCAGCATTAAACAAAGACAACTTTACTAGCATGGAATGATTTAACAGCTCGTTCTGATGGCCTATTGGCTTCCACAGAACAGTTATTCGCTCAGTTTATTCCAAGGATACTACAAGTATGAAGTTGTCACTATTAATTGGTGCTTTTAACCCTACCATTTTTGCAGTATTTTCTTAGAAACTTGAAAATAACATTTCCTCCTTGCCATGGGATCCATTCCCATTTGTTTTATATAAGGTTTCCTTCTCCCTCCTTCACTATCTCTCTTTTTTTTTAATAGAGCACAAATGAACATGGCTCACCCAATGTTTATTTCCTTTGCTGTCATCAGCCACATCCTTTGTGTTGCGCTTACAGCTATACTATTTAATTTGGGCTCACTTTGTTGGACAGCTGGCTGACCAATAGCAGCAAAACAAAGCTACTATAGCAGTGGTGGGCAGCTTGTGGCCCACGCACCCTATCTTTGCCTCCGTCCCCCACTCCTCTCACACACTGGGGCCTTGGAGCCACGCACTTGCTTACTCCTCCCTTTCCCTCCCAGCACTTTTGGAGCACTGCGAATTGGCTGATTCACAGCATTCAAGCCGGGGGAGTGCAAATCAACAGCTTCATGGTGCTCCAAAAGTGCTGGGAGGGAGAGGGTGTGCAAGAGGCTTAGGGGAAGGGTTTAGAGAAGGGATATGTGGGCTGCCCGCAGGTGGAACCCCAATGGGCCGCATGAAGCCTGCAGGTTGCCCGCCACTGGATTTTAGTCTTGCAGCCCACTGGTTTGTGATCAAGGTGCTGGGGTGATACAAATAATCAACAACAACAACAAGCTTTCATGCAACGACAGGAGGCTGAGTTGGGTCAGTGGGAAAGCAAATTACAAATATGGCTGCTCAATCCCCTCTTCCTTCCCCATTCCATTCCCACCTTCCCTCACTGAACCCCATTGCATGGGGACATGGGAGAAGTCACTGAGCAGCTTGGCTTCGTAACGCAAATAGGGTACAGACTCCCTATCAGTGCAGTGAGCCTGAAGGGGATCCACCAGAGCTTGAACACTCTGTGTCCATGGAGGAAGGGGCAAGATGTGACCCTTAATAGATACCTGTGACTTACCAGATGATTCATAGAATGAATGCGTCTTTTCAAAGTCTTCTGGCTCCTCATAGTTTTTTGGAAGAACCCAATATAATGGCAGAGTCAGGTTCCCATATAGTCAGGTTCCTATATAGTCCCATATATTTCTCTGTCAGAAATTGTGCTGCACACCAGTGACTCACTGAAGTGTTGTATTTTATTACAGTTTAATATGTTGGAAGTGAAAAATTCAAGCCATACATAGTATTGCAGTAATGTGATTACATAATTATATAAACTGTTAGATAATGTGATTAGCTTGAAATAATATGATTATCCAATATTTACCTACTTTTCTCTTTCAAAAGTATAATTTGAAAGAAATAAATCTGAGAGAGTGCATTAAATGGAGAATTTCTTCTTGCATTTCCTTTTCTTTCAGGCAACCAGTAACGAAAAACACATTTCGGCAGTACAGGGTACTAGGAAAAGGTGGTTTCGGGGAGGTGAGTAATTCTGAAAGCTTCTGTTAAAAATGTTTCTCATCTCACAGGCACTGCAGGTGAGGAGAAATGGTTTTCATAGGAAAGAGAACGGTTTTAACCACTTAGACAGTTTTCTGTTAGCATTTCATAAGATTATAACCCTCAAGGGTCACTTACAGAAATGACTCTCTTGTTTTGTCTATTACAGTAACTTTTGAACTGCGCTCACACAGGGATTATCTGTATCACAGTAGCAATTAGATGCTTCTGCTTAGATCAGGGCATGGTCTAAATGCACAGTATGACTCAGAGTCCTGCCCTGAAGCGTGTGTAATCTAAGGGCCCATACACAGCAAAAAAACAAAAAAAACCAAAACTGTAGTAGCAAGTCTCAGAGCTCAGGTCAACTGACTAGGGAACTAAAAATAGTTGTGCTCAAGTCAAGCTGCATTCAGAAACCCAGCAACAGTCTCCTGTATGTGCACCCTGCTTTTTTTAGCCTAGCAGCGTGAGCCCGAGTCATTGACTACCCTGGCTTAGAGGTTTGCTGCCATGTTCATTTTTCTACTGTGTAGACATATCCTAAGTAGATGAGGCAAAGGGTGGGAAGGCATAGAAAGGTGAAGTCATTCCACTGAACGTATACAGCACAGCTGTTTCAGAACTAGGGTGGGAACTCCTGTCTATGGGTGCCCAGGCCTCTACACAGTAAGCCATGCTGCCTCTCACGCTATTAGCAAGCACTTAAAAAAGCCTGCACACAAACCGGATAATGAGGTACTAAGCTTTATAGATAAAGGGTATTTTCTTTTCAGTTACCCAAGTCATTATTTTTCCCCTTCTTCATTTTTAGGTCTGTGCTTGCCAAGTCCGAGCGACGGGGAAAATGTACGCCTGCAAAAGATTAGAGAAGAAGAGAATAAAAAAGAGGAAAGGCGAATCCATGGCACTAAATGAGAAGCAGATTTTAGAAAAAGTCAATAGTCAATTTGTAGTGAGTATTGAACTCCTGTTTATGGGCCCAGTCATGTAGTCAGTCTCTGCATAATTCCCGTGGGGTTCTGTGCTCTCTCGGGCTCCATGGTACATGGAGTAGCAGTTAAAACTGGCCCATTTTATGATGCCTGCTCAGTTTACCTGAACACTTCTGTTTTCCATTCAACTGACTCTAGCTTTAGCTTGCAATATATGAGAAGTGCATCAAATTTGGTGGCTGCTTAGGGAATTTAAAATGTGTACTGTTCGAAGCCTCCAGTTTTATTTGGGTTGTATCAGGCTGAACTATTTTTATCCCCTGTGATTCCCTGATTTGTAAGTACCTGAGTGAGAGAAGGTCTTGGGTGAGAGTGAGCTGCCTGAGGTTCACCCAGCTAAGACAAAGAGATGTTGGTTGGCTAGTAGAAAGCATCTAGTCAATATGGTGGGCCTGCCCCGCAGCTTAGAGGATTTTGGAGCAAGTAGGAGCAAGTCTCCCAGCACTGGTCAACAACTCAGGCCAGCAGGGCTTTCAGTAGTGGTCTAAAAATAGCTGTATAGATAGATGATGCTTTGAAGTTGCGAAGCTGGGATGCTTAGTGCCACTCGGTCAAAAAAGCTGCGTAGACATAGACCAGTAGTGGTCTAAAAATAGCAGTATAGATAGATGATGCTTTGAAGCTGGGATGCTTAGTACCACTCGGTCAAAAAAGCTGCGTAGACATACTCTTAGGGGCTTGCCTGACCTGTGTCAGCGCTGTCAGCCATTTAGAGTAGAGGAGTCATTCTTAAAAACTGGTCAGTATTGCCTTAAATACATAGATATGGTTACCTCAATGTTTCAGGATCTTCTTTGTTTACTCTAGAAAATACCATGAATACAGCAAATACAGAGCTAATGATTAAAATCTTCATAGCCAATGACGTCTATTTATCTAAGTATTATTAAAGATGGCAAGTATTTAAGCATAACCACTATATTTCTAGATTCCTGGATGCTCCTGGAATACCAGGTAGTATTATCGGCCGGAAGTGCCTTGTTTTACCTACATTGAGGCCAGGGCTACACTAGACCCGGCAGCTCAGCTTAAGATGCGCAACTCCAGGGATATAGAATACATAGCGCGAGTGCCCTCTGAGTTTGATTGAGCAGGTATTAACTAGACTCGCTAAATAGAACTCCAGAAGATCGATCACGGCAACAGTGATATTGCATAGAATGAAGACACAGTCTTAGTGTAGCCGCTATCATTGGTTAGTCCATGACACTGCTTTTGTGACCTTGAGGTTGACTACTGCAGTGCTCTCCATTTGGGTTTCCCTTGAAGGCCTTGCAGAAGCAATAGGCTTTTCAGAATGTGGCAAATCCCTTGCTTACTGTGATTGGTCACAGGGAGCATTTTTCATGAGTCACTGTTGTGAAGACTTTCCCTGGTGTCTATTGGCTTATTGGTGCAATGACCTATAAAGCCCTATGTTGCATAGGTCCAAGTTATCTGAGAATCTGCCTCTGTCCCCATTGTAAGAGATCTTGTCAATTGATAAACTCCTGCTGATATCTCCTAGATGGAAGTTGGTGTCTGGTTATTTCCAGCAGAGAGCCCTCGTTTCTGGAATTTGTATTCCCTGCTTGGATTGTTTCAAAACTCTACTCAAATACACTGTTGGCTAAACCCTATCAGGTTGCCTGTGTGAAGCTGCAAATTTTGAGATGCTCTTTGTACATAAATTGTGCAATTACTGTACCTTTGGCAGCAACAAATGCCCTGAAGGGCCTTCGCTTCTGGTGGATAGTGTTTGCCTCAGAGGGTTTCTGTGACCCTCCACACAGCCTCTTTTTTTCTAGAGGTAACGGTCACAACCTACTGAGCCATGCGCATTATAAGCTAGTCCACAGTTTGGAGTGAAAACCCCTCCGTAGTTCTGATCGCCCCTGTTGGGGGAAGACTCAGTAGTGGTGTGGGGAGGGTTGGGGGAAACCTGGACTCACCCACTACTCCAGGTTCCTGGTCGGGGACGTAAGGCAGCAGCAACAGACTACTCCTGGTCTGGCAGCTTCTTTCCTGAGCCACTTCCCTGAAACAGTCCTTCCCAGTACCTTTCCTGCTCCTCCATGGCACTCTGACTTGTTCATAGCCTCATCTCACATCCAGTGTGTCTTCTCTCTCTTAGATCTTGGGCTCTTCTCTGCAGGGAGACATTATAAGCAAGCCTTAATAGGTGCAGGTGCTTTGAACAGCCTGCTGCTTCTGGCAAGTTCAGTCAGATGCCTGACTGATTATGCTGCACTAGGCTTGGCCCTGTTTAATCAGGGAAGAGGAAACTTTTCCCCCAAAGCCCAGAATACCTCCCCTCCATTAGAGTATGGCAACCAGCTGGTATGGGTCTGTCACAATATAGAAATCCAAATTAGATCAAAGTGTGATACCTACAGCTGACTCGGTATTTGGATTTTATGTTCAACTCTCAACAATAGGAAACTTCAGTTGCAAATTGTAGAGATGAATCCATTGACTTCTTAAAACTGCACCCCACTTATCTGGAAAGACATGCTTGGAATTCATGCAACTTATCCAGCTTTTTAAGGATACTGTGCCACTAAACACTAAATGTAGAGTCTTCAGATAAGTGTAGGCAGGATTCAGTACATCAGTCCATAAAATTCTAATTGCTGGGGAAGGGGTTATGTGGTTTTGTAAAATAAGCCTGAGTTTGCAAGAAGGCTCATATCTTCTACTCGCTTTGCTTTGTTTATAGCACACTGTAGTCAAATTTTGTCATTTTTAATGTACAAAAGTTAGCAATGACTTCAACATGCCTGATGACAGACCTGTGAATGCTATTTTACAAATATCTTTCTAGGTTAACTTAGCCTATGCCTATGAAACAAAGGATGCACTGTGTTTAGTTTTGACCATAATGAATGGGGGTGACTTGAAGTTCCATATCTACAACATGGGAAACCCAGGCTTTGAAGAGGAGAGAGCTCTGTTTTATGCAGCAGAGATTCTTTGCGGCTTGGAAGACCTGCATAGAGAAAACACTGTGTACAGGTAAGTTTTCCGTGCTGTCTTGGGCTATTCATCAGTGGAAGCTTGGATTGTAGTATCTATTTCAGTGCAATACGTCCTAGATGTCAATGCACTAGCTCAGATTTCTCAGAGCTTTGATGGAATACAGTAAAACTCAGTAATTGTACAAGGAAGCAACTGGACCGACAGCCGTTACGGGCCACTGGGGCAAGATATGGGACAGGGCCTAGCTCCATGCTTTGGAAGGGGCAGGCCCAAGGCAGAAGGGGCAGGGCCAAGAATGAAGAGGTGGGCCAAGGGCAGTCAGCTCCTAGCACCGTCCAGACTGGGGCACACCTCCCTCTCCCCAAGCCCTCCGAGCTGCATAGACTGGTGGAGCAGTGCTCCTCAGCAGTTCAAAGGGTCTTGGGGCTCTGACTGCCATGGCTTCTGCAGTAGCAGTGGTGGCAGCTGGGAGTTCCTAGCCTCAGGGCAATTGCTCCCTTCCTCCCCTCCACCTCCCCCCCCCCCCCATCAGTGAGCCTGAAAGGAAGCAGTAGTTTTAGTTTTAGTGAACATATTCTATCTAGATGATAGAGAACTTTCTACACAGACATATGTACAGCTCCCCAAACCCTGTCTCCACTTGCACGTATAAAATGCTGACAGATTCTTATGGGGTTATTTCTCCTAAGCTGTTTCTTAGTATTAACCAGAGATCATTTTGGGACATGAAACTTCCATTTTTGTTTTTTAGCTTGTAGCAGTGACTGTAGTGTGCTAGGTACTTCTGAAAGACAATCCCCGGCTCCAAAGAAGGGTACAGTTTAATAATACAAAGGCAAAGGATGATGGAAAAGGATATAACAGACAAGCAAAGTGATCAGTGATTATGAACACATGGTTTGTTAATGACATGGTTCATTTTTGTTGACATTTTTTAAGTTAACACATACATGTGGCTGCGTCTAGACTGGCAAGTTTTTCCGCAATAGCAGTTGCTTTTGCGGAAAAACTTGCTAGCTGTCTACACTGGCCGCTTGAATTTCCGCAAGAACACTGATGATCTAATGTAAGATTGTCAGTGTTCTTGCACAAATACTATGATGCTCCCACTCAGGGATAAGCCCTCTTGTGCAAATGCTTTTGCGCAAGAGGGCCAGTGTAGACAGGTAAAAACTGTTTTGCACAAAATAGCCCCGATGACGAAAATGGCGATCGGGGCTTTCTTGCGCAAAACCGCGTCTAGATTGGCACGGACGCTTTTCCGCAAAAAGTGCTTTTGCACAAAAGTGTCCGTGCTAATCTAGATACTCTTTTCCGCAAATGCTTTTAATGGAAAAACTTTTCCGTTAAAAGCATTTGTGGAAAATCATGCCAGTCAGACGCAGCCTGAGTGTATGAATGATGGTATAACTCAGGAGTAACTACTAAAGTCAAAGCAAGTTGTGAATGGGGGTGGAGTGGTGGGGGGGGAATTACCCATCTGGATAGGATCAAAGTAATCAAATATGCTTTTTTCTTAAGAACAGAGAGATTTAAGCCTGGTTTGAGATGAGAAGCAAGCTATGTATTTTCGTTCCCTCACACACACTTCAGAAACATGACAGGTGTGCTCATGATCTGCCTCTATGTGAGATAATTATGGACCATATTCCCTCCCATCCAGCCCCCTCTTTTCAGCCCCTACGAAATGACAATAGTAGGCATTCTCCATGGGTTTCTCATTCACTTGTTCTTTTGTTCTTTCTTTCCCTCCAGCAGCAACATAGTTGTTGGAAATGGATAGGTCAGTCAACAGGGAGACCTATAAGCAGGGAAAAGGAAAGATAATGACATTAGAAGGCACGTGGTTCTCCAGTAGGGGGGAGAGTATTCCTCTTCTTTCTAGTAGGGTGAATAAAACAATAGGGTTTCTGAAAGAAAGGCCACTGATCTGAGCTTCAGAGAAGTTATGCAAATGAGTCTCTCTATCCACCATGTCATACCATTGCTCTGAGTGTGCAGCTTCAGGCTGAATGGAAACTGTATGTACAGCTGACAGGTGAACAAGATCCCAAGCCTAACAAACTCAACATATGGCTCTTAAGGTTCTTGATGGGGGTTAAAAACTCCTTTATGGCACATAGGGTATTTGAACTCTCTACTTCCCTATTGCACGAGGACACCATGTACAGGTTGAACCTCTCTAGTCCAGAATTCTCTGGACTGGAAACATCCGTTGTCCAGAATGATTTTGATTAGCAGGATGTCCTCTTTTCATGGGTGTGGCTAAGTTTCCTGTGGTCCTATAAAGTTTGTTTACAGCCACCAGTCCTGGCTCTCAGTGTTCTGTGCTGTTACTTAGCTCTAATTTACCCCTAAATGTCTCCTAAGAGCCCGGCAAGCTGTGGAAGTGTTGGTAATGCTGCTCAGCAATAGTGACCTCCCATGGTACAGAAAATTCTTTAGTTCAGAGCCAGTCAGGTTCCGAGGGTTCTGGACTAGAGAGGTTCAACCTGTACATATAGTTTTGCAGGAGAGCTCAGGGATTTCTTGCTGAATCAACAGGTTGGACGCAGAATCAGTGTTCATAGCTGCTGCCCCATGGATGCCAGCAAATTATTTGTTTTCAATGGTGCTCTAATAGCATTTAAAAAAATATGTGATGTTTGTTTGCCTGAGCCTGACTAGTGAATTCATCCTTACGGCCATTTTATACTGTAGAGGCCCTGTATATTGATAAGACACCATCCAAGGGGCATTACTCAGAGGACTATCACGTGTTTTGAAATGAGACCATAGCTTAAATCATTCATGTGGCCGTATGTACCATCCAGTGTCTAGTTCTGTCTTTAGTGAGAGGCATAGGTCAATAGGACTGGAGTATTTATTGCAGTTTTACACTGGCTGGGGCTGTGATCGTGTTAGGGAGAATTTGGGAGTGGAGCCCTCCTAGAGGAGGGATAGTGATGGGTGACATTACATCCCTGCACATGACACTTCTCCAGCGCAATTTTAGAAGCTTCAGTCGTGGCCCATCATTTGAAATTCTATTCAGTGCTGAGGGTCTTACGAAAGGCAAGGTCAGGAAAACATAGTAACCAAAATGCCACAGCTTCAGCTGAGTGAATAATTCAGAACGAGCCACTTTTTCATCAAATTTCACTTTTTACACCATTTGCAGGTAATTCACAAAAATTCCAAAAGGTATCCGTTTTTAATAGCTCTGAACCCAATATCTCTGGGAGTCACATTAGTAGTATTGGTTTTACTACTTGATTGGATGACTTACATAATAAACCATGGAATATTTGGACTATTACTGTCAAATATACAATTCAGAGTTGTTGCTTCCTGTTGCTAGTCAGACATGTTAGCTTAAATTTCACTTTTCAACCATATTGGTCCTAGTAGAGCTCAGTTGTTCAAATGTTCGTGGAAAGCAAGCATGCTGTGAACCTCGCTGAATTATTCATAATGTAATATATATTTGAAAGCATTTGTGCACCTGTCTGTCTCTGTGTCCGTCCATCCATCTGTGAGTCCATTTGCTCAAGAACTTCTCCTAAGCGGAGCCAGAGCCACAAAATTTGGTATGCAGCTTCCTTTTATCATAACATAAAGCAAGGTCAGGCCCTGAAGAGAAACCAGGGCAGGCTGCACAGTCCTCCCCCGCTATGGGCTGGCCCTGGGCAGAAGCCAGAAAGTAGGCTACATGGCCCACTTAAGGCCAGCCCTGGGGAACAGCTGCTGGCCATCCACTCCCCCTGCCCTGAGCCCTCCATCTCCTGCCCTGAGCCCTCCTCACTTCTCAATTCCTTGCCCCAACTCCTGCACCCCTGCTCTGACTACTGCACCCGCACCTCACCCCCTGCCCTGAACCCCTCCTCACCTCCTAACCCCAACTGCTGCAACCCCCCCACCCTAGCCTCCTGAGCCCTCCACATCCCCAAGCCTCTGCTCTGAGTCCTATGCCCCCAAATCCCCTGCCTTGAAGGATCCAAGCAATGTTGGGTAAGTCTTCTAGCTATTTATAATACAATAGTGCCTGGAGGTATCCATCTATATCCATTAGTTTAGACAATGTAGAAATATACAGTCAGGCTTCTCTGTATTAGAAAGTTGTTCAGCTTTATCTACCCGAGTATCTACCCCTTACTGGGATGCAGTATACCAGTATAACAGTGCTCATAGCTATACAGCTTATTCCCATGTGGGAAGGGGAACAAGCTTTTATCAGTATAAGGTATCATTCTGCCTGCCTAAGTGGAGAAAGTGAGTAGGGGAGAGCCTGTTCTAGATTTGATTCTGACAAATAGGGAGTAACTGCTTGAAAGTTTGAAGGTGAAAGGCAGCTTAGGTGAAAGTGATCATGAAATGACAGAATTCATGATTGTAAGGAATCATAGGAGGGAAAACAGTGCAATAAAGACAGTGGACTTCAAGGAGGAGGATTATAGCAAACTCAGGCCCAGGCTATACTAGACCAGGCAGGTCAACTTTAAGGTACACAATCCAGCTACACAAAATGCATACACAATCCAGCTACACAAAATGATGTTGGAGTCGGCTTACCTTAAGCCAAGCCACTGCAACATCAGTCTTCTCTCTAGTGTATACATGCCCTCAGAGACTTGGTAGGTAAGATTCCTGTAGTAAGCAAGTGTAAAGGGAAAAAACGTTCAGGAGAGTTGGCAGTTTTTTGAAGATATATCCTTAAGTATCCAAGCGCAAACTATCCGAATGTGTTGGGAAAATAATAAGGATGGTAAAAGACCACCTTGGCTTAGCCAGGACATCTTCAACAACCTAAAACTCAAAAAAGAATAATACAAAAAATGGTAAATAGGTGAAATTATGAAGGATGAATCTTAAAAATAATAAAAAAAAAGCTAACACAAGCATGTAAGGACAAAATTAGAAAGGCCAAGGTACAAAATGAGATTAAAATAGCTAGGGACATAAAGGATAACAAGAAAATATTTTACAAATATATTACAAGCAAGAGGAAGACCAGGGATAGGATAGGCCCATGACTCCATGGGGAAGGAAAAATAATAACAGAAATGCAGAAACGGCCAAATATATTTGTTTTCAGTTTTCACCAGAACCGTTAGTACTGGACTAACATAATGAACATCAGTGTAAATGGGGTAGGATCTGAGGCTAAAACAGGGAAAGAACTAGTTAAAAATTACTTAGACAAGATAGATGTCTTCAAGTTGGCGGGGCCTGACAAAATACATTCTAGAACACTTGAAGACCTGGCTGAAGAAATCTGTGAGCCATTAGCAATTATCTTTGAGAATAATTATCTTTGAGGGGAGAGATTCCAGAGGACTGGAAAAGAGCAAATATAGTTCCTGTATATAAAAAAGGGAATAAGGCCAATCCAGAGAACTATAGCCGAGTCAGCTTACCTTCGGTACCCAGAAAGATAATGGTGCAAAAAATTAAACAATCAGTTTGTAGGGACCTATAAGATAATACGGTGATAAATAAGTCAACATGGATGTGTCTAGAGCTAATCATGTCAAACCTTCTTTGACTGGTAACAAAACCTTGTGAAATAGCAGCAGATGTGATACATCTTGACTTCCATAAGACCTTTAATAATGTTTCCCATGACCTTCTCATAAATAAACTAGGGAAACATAGCCTTGACAAACCTATTATAAAGTGGGCACCCAACTGCTTGGAAAACCATTTTCAGAGAGTAATGATCAATGGTTCTCAGGCACAATGGAAGGACATATTGAGAGGAGTCTGCAGAGATCTGTCTTGGGTCCACTTCTAGTGAATATCCCATAAATTATTTGGATAATGGCATAGTGAGTACACTTATAAAGTTTGCAAATGATACCAAGCTGGAAAATGTTGCAAGTGCTTTAGAGAACAGGATTAGAATTCAAAATGATCTTGACAAACTGGAGAAATGATCTGAAATAAATAGGATAAAATTTAATAAAGAGAAATGCAAAGCACTGCTGAGGAAGGAATAATCAATTGCACAAATACAAAATGGGAAATGACTGCCTACAAAGCAGTACTGCAGAACAGGATCTGAGAATTATAATGGATCACAAACTAAATAAGAGTCAGCAATGTAATACTGTTGCAAAAAAAGTGGGATGTATTAATAGGGGCGTTGTAAGAGAGACAAAAGAAGAAATTATTCCACTTTACTGAGCACTGATAAGGCTTCAACTGGAGTATTGTGCCGGGTTCAGACAGCGCACTTCAAAAAAGATGTGGACAAACTGGAGATAGTCCAGACAAGAGCAACAAAATGGATTCAACATCCAGAAAACATAACCTGTGAGGAAAGACTGAAAAACCTGGATTTCTTTTCTTTGGAGAAGAGAAGGCGGATGGGAGATATAACTGTCTTCGAGTATGTAAAAGGCTGTTACAAGCGGGGGAGGGTGATAAGATGTTTTCCCTAGCCACTGAGGTTACAGCAAGCAGCAACTGGCTTAAATTGCAGCAAGGCAAATAAAGACTGGGAGAACAGAAGTATTTTTACCTGTATTTTACAGCTGGGGCACTAGTCATTGGAGCTAGTGACAGAGCTGGCACTTGAATCTCTGTCTCCTGAGTCCCCTCCCAGAGTCTAAATCACAAGACCATCTTTGTTCCTATTGAAATCAAATTTGATTTCTGAAGTCACCTGAACAGGCAGGAATTTTTTCTTCTTACTTCATGTGGCTGTTGCTGTGGCATGAAATGTGGCCGATAACAGATGGGATTCAAAATAAAAGTAAAGGATCGAATCTAGGATCCTCAAGGAAATTGCTCCTCATAGTTTAAAATTAGATAGAAAAAGTGGGTGGGAAATGACCTTTATCACATTGCTCTAGTGCCAAGAGCCTTTTGTTAGCACAGAGATAAGCACGCGGTCGTATGTAAAAGAAAGTCATACATTCTGCACAGCATTCTTCTGCCCTTCACATATTTGAGTATTGTTTGTTTGAAAAGTAGGCTTGGTACCACTGGGCACTCAGCAAAGTTTATCTTGTGAGGTCAAGAGGGTTTTAAACTAGCAAAAGGAGAAGAATGTTTATGGCACCGTGTTTCAGCTTAAAATAATAAATGAGAGCAAGATTGGTTTGGAAAATGTGCCCTTGGCACTGTCTGAATATAAAATACCCAGTGATATCCAATGATAGCCGAATGCCATATATGCCCATAGAACAGTTTGAAATATCTGGGAGAGTTCTTGCATGTACTCTGTATGGCGGGTGGGCAGATTTCTCTCCCTCTAACACTCACCAGCCACACACTTGTGCACACACACATACACGTGCTTTGAAAAGAGATCTTTCTTACTGGAAACTCTACTACGTTCGTAAAACCAAGAGGCCTTTTCAGAACAGCAATCCACATTTTACCTGAATTTACACCCTGCTCAGCCCCATTACCTTAGCAGCATGACAGAGAGAAGAACTTGGTCTAGTGTGAGCAATATGGTGCCTCTTCCCAAAACTGGATTCCCCAGATAGTCCCAGTGTCCCTCCCCTTCAGGACTCTCCTCTAATCTCAGTCTTCCTGGCCTCCACTGCTCCCAGTCCCTGGCTTCCTGCCCAACCAATCCTTGTTACATAGCTTCAGTCTCTGCACACATGCCCAGATTCCTCATCCCAATTTACTTCCTGCCCTCTCCATTCAAGTCCATCCTGTGTGCCCTCTGCATTTGAGTCAGGCTTTTCCTTCTTGTTCATGCCCAGACATCAGCAGGGGGAGCATTGGAAACACAACTGGAGTATTGGACTCCCTGCTCTCATTTCTAGTGCCTGGCATGACAGCAACCCACAGCTCAGCTCCCGCTGGTCTAGAATGAGTCTCGTCAAAATATAGGAGTTGTGAGGGGATGGAGCATGCTCCATGAGATGGAATCCTGTAAGACAGGTTCTCAACCTTTTTCTTTCTGAGACCTCTACCCCCACAACATGCTATAAAAAGTCCATAGCCCACCTGTTCCACAACAATTGTTTTTCTGCATATAAAGCCGTTGTTAGAGGATAGCAATTGTCCGGGGTTCCACACTATGGAGGGTTGATCTGGCTCTGGCTTCAGTTCTGGTGGTAGGGCTTAGTGCTTAGAGTTGCAGGTTCACATGGTGGAGTATTGGCTTCCTGTGCTGGGTCCTAGTGAGTCTAACACCAGCCATGCTTGGTGGACTCTCTGAAACTTGCATGCGACCACACAGGAGACTTGGACTCCTGATTGAGAACCACTGCTCTAAGAATTAAGCTGACCAGTTCTAACATGTCTCTGTTGAGTTTGTGTGAACCAAGATTTTTCAAAGGCTTATATCGTTGGGCATTTTGTAACAGGGACAGCAAAAGATATACCTGTGACATCCGGGCAGCCCCTTTGTCAACTTTCAAACCCTTCCTCCAAATCATGGAGGTACTTGAACTCCTCAATGATTTGAGGAGTTGACAGAAGATTTTTAACATGGACAAAACAACATATTTTTCAGTGTGTTCTGAACCATTTTTGTGGAAACTTTAAAAAAAAAATCAGGCTGAGGCAGACTCTAGGCTTGGAAAGTTTTAGCCTGAATGGTTGCAATTGGCCAAATGTATAAGGTACTGAAAATGCGGTTTAATCATGGGAATTGTTAGGCATCTTTCACTACCGGTGGAGTAGCCAGCATCTCTGCCTTTAACATGTGCCAGACCAACTATCAGAACACAGAGTGAATCTATTAGAAAGCATATTGTGAAGTCTTTGCTCTGAACGAACTGCAGTTAAGAAAAAGATATATACAGACTCAGTCTTGCTGTGCAATAACTAGTAGAGTCTTATATTGGTTTTACAAGTTCGTTACTGATTCAATTGATTCCTAACTTGTTTATCATTCACTGGGTATGTATTCGTACATTGCACCAGGCTTCTGAACTGCTTTCACACACAAAAACTTCTCTTTCATTTTCAGAGATTTGAAACCAGAAAATATCCTGTTAGATGATTATGGTAAGTCTCAGAGGTTTAAAGACTTTTTTTCACCATAAAGTAGCTTAAGTTAGTTTTAGAACATGTATTGTATAAAGGCAAATAATTCTCTAAAGTGAACAAGGGGTCTGTCACATACTCATGCTTGTGTCTTGGGATGTATAAAGTGATAAAGCTTTACACAAGGACTGTTACCCTTCTGAGGAAACTAGATTGCATAGCAGAGTATGTTCCTTTGGACTGTGGCTGACCTAGCAATGGGTCGGACTTTTCCACTGTCTCCCCTATTTTGCTGCTAGGAGGCTTCCACAATAGGAAGGAATTTGTGACATTTTCTGCCCCCAACTCCCTTTTCCAACATACTCTACCCCTCTCAGCTGTCATTTTATTCAAAACCATTGCTAGCTACTAGCTGCCATGATCGAGTCTCATGCTTCAGCGCCTAAATTAATCACTGCCACAGTCAGGAAGGAAATTTCCCCCATTTGCAGCAGTGCAGAACTGGCCCAGGGACAGGCATAACTTTCTTTGAGGTATCAAGTCTTGGCTTGCTACCGGAAACATGGCAAATACTTGTGTTCCTATTAGGGATGTAAAATCACATTTAATTGATTAACTAGTTAACCTTTCACATTCCTAGTTCCTGTGACTCTGGCTCAACAATGACCAGGTCAGTCCCATGTTTTCTGGTGTAGTGATGACTGTCATGTATATGACATGCTTCCATTTGAGCTGGGCCTTTCAAGTCTATGCAGCCTTCAGACCACTACTAAATCATTAGGCCATTTGTAATGTAGTGCACGATCAAATTGCTACCTACCTGGGTTCTGTGATACCTCAGAGATGGATTGCAATAGGGACCTAACTGGAAAAAATAGATTTATTACCCAAGTTATCTTAGTCTTGACTCTTCCACCTTTCTAAAGGAACTATACACAATAGACTAGGGATCTGGAAAGTTATGGGACATTTTAATGAAAACACTGCTGTAAAATGCAGTGTACTCAAGCAGATTTCTATGCTATGTACACACCATCGTTGCTGAGTGGTTTGCTTTCTGAAATAATTTGATTTAGGTTAAAATATGGTCAGAATGGGAATATAATTTCAAAATCAATTCCTTTATTTACATACTCCAAAATCTGGATATAAGTACAAATGATTACTAGGTTCTTAGGGTTCTAAGTAGTATTTCTCAAGGAACAGATCAGTATGTGGCAAAATAAGATCCAAAAGTTGAGCTTTAATTATAGATTCAGTACCAAGTTTAGTGACTTTTACAAGGTAAACTATCACAAAGTGATACATGTTAAAGATAGAAAAGTCCAATTCAGTCAACCCGTCCATCCTCTTAGGTCAGTGGAAGATGTTTCCAGACAGTATACCAACCATTGCTTTTTTCCAGCTCGGTTTTAAATATCTCAAGCAATGAAGACTAGTCCACAGTATAATAGACCTCACTGTTAGTATGTTTTCATTGCCATCCACTCTAACCTTTCCTGTTTTTAATTTCATTGGATTGCTCTTACCTAAAACCCCTAATCTCACCCAAAATCATTTCTCCCTTTCTGAATTATTATAGTTTTCAAATGCAGTACTAGTGGAATTTTTCTTCTCATGGTATTTAGATGAATTTCAAAAGTAGCCCATTGAGTATAATGTTTGTGGTTCTAGTGATTTTAGGACTGTACTGTAATATTTGCTTTTTCCCCCTTAGGCCATATTAGAATATCTGATCTGGGTCTAGCTGTTAAAATCCCTGAGGGTGAATCAATCCGTGGAAGGGTAGGAACAGTAGGGTATATGGGTAAGTGCCTCAGAAGCTCATTTTATTGATCCTTTACTCTACTATTGTGACTTTGGAGCTCTGTCTGGAGTGCAGATTAACTAACCCTCTAGGAAGCTGTTCTAGAGGACCAGATCATCAAACTAAAAGATATGTGAGAGTTTTCCAGTATTTTAAGGAGCTATATTAAGGGACAGCCGTTCCTCCTTCTCGCTTGATTCCAATTTCCTGCTGAGTGCTGAAGGGGCTTTAAGTTTTGCAATGGTCTTCAGCTGCATGTGATATTAATTTTCTCCTGCTTTAGAATACAAAACAAAGCAATATTCGGTTTGCATGTTACAAATGCAGGGCTCTTCAAAATAAAGAAAGCATGTCAGTGGGCTCTATTAACTCTGCAGACAGTGGAGTTATATCAATTAACTGCAGAGAGAGAAAGAGAGATTGAGAGAGAGTGTTAAGTTAATGTATACTGGGGGAGAGAGAATTGCGTGTGTGTGTGTGTGTGTGTGTATCAGAGTGTGAGGGTATTAGAGTGTGGTTGTAGCGTAAGAAAGCATATCCATAGTCATCAGAGCCGTTACAAGGGTGGGGCAAGTGGGGCATAGTTCAGTAGCTTGCCCCAGGCACAGAAAACCTTAGTTTCAGCTCTGATGGTCATAAAGACATGTCAGCACAGGTTAACAACCAGAGTGCATAACCAGGGTCCCCAACAGGCTTCCATGTTGGTTGCTAGCTTGTGCTAAAGTCTATGCCATCACCTCTCACTACTATTGTTACCTGGGACAGTTGGGTTAAAATTAGCACATGGGTGTATGGTTATGCTTGCTACAGTCATGCCTGTGCTTCGCAGTTCAGACATATACTGTGAGGCTTTGAATACACTACAAGGTTTTTGAGGCAGAGTATGCTATTGACGGACTCATTAACATGAGTCACGATGTCATTAGCATATTTTCTGCCAATGCTTTTTGTGCAAGGGGTTTTTGTGCAAAAAAGAAGCAGTGTAGCTGGAGAGGATCTTGCGCAAAGGGGGGATTTCGCACAAAACGAAAGCCGCTACACTGCTTCTTTTTGTGCAAAAACCCCTTGCGCAAAAAGCATCTGCAGAAAATATGCTAATGACATTGAGACTCATGCTAATGAGTCTGTCATTGGCATACTCTCTGCCACAAAAACTTATAGTGCAGACATAGCCTGAGACTCTGGGTGTATCTGTTAGAAAAAGCATGTGCATGTACATGTGTGTGAGAGATGTTCTCTGTGGCTATGTCTAGACTGCAAGCCTCTTTCGAAAGAGCCTCTTTCGAAAGAGAGCGTCTAGACTGCACGCGGAACTTTCGAAAGAGCAAGCCGCTTTTTCGAAAGAAAGCACCCAGTGAGTCTGGATGCTCTCTTTCGAAGAAGCCCTATTTACATTCAAGAACGCCTTCTTTCGAAAGAAGCACTTTCGAAAGAAGGCGTTCTTCCTCGTGAAATGAGGTTTACCACCGTCGAAAGAAAAGCCGCGTTCTTTCGATTTAATTTCGAAAGAACGCGGCTGCAGTCTAGACGCAGGTGAAGTTTTTTCAGAAAAAGGCTACTTTTCCCGAAAAAACCCCTGAGTCTGGACACAGCCTGTGTGTTTGTGATACTGTGAGCAAGTCTTTGCGCATCTTTGTATGTTTCAGGCAGAGAGAGACTTTGTGCAAAAAGTAGAAAGTCAAAGTGCTAATCTACACACAAACATGCACTGAGGCAAGTAACCCAGTTTGCTAAAACCAACTGAGTTATTTCAGTGTAAATCTGCATGGAATAAAAGTGGTTTAAAATGTTTTGGCTAAAGTTGGTAACAAATTGACGTTAGTCTCTTTTATCCCTTATGTGGTCTTGCATCTAAGTAACTAAGTTACTAGTTATAAATTCCATCATTAGATCACCTATTGCAAATGTGTGTGTAGATTAGGACCCTGTGTTTGTGTTCAGAGAGTAAATATGCACGTTAGAAAGTGACTGTATGCACAGTGAGTATATATACAGCACACAGTGGATGTTCATTTTTTAAATAAAATATATACACTCAAACTGATCCAAAGGGCAGAATTTGCTTTTTAGGACATTTCATTTTTGTTTAAATAATATGTCTGTTTGCCATTTTTTTTAAACTTACAGTCTTGATGAATTTTCAAGTTTGGGCCAGTCAAAAATATTTAGATTCCACTGATTTGTGTTGTTGTTGTTTCAGATCCCAGCTGTGTTTTTATATATGCTTCTGCATGAATAGCTGCATTCTGTATGTTCTATAACTCAGCTAGTAGCAACCAGGAAGGACTCTTATATTTTCCCACAGTTTTCTCCAGCTGTGCATTCAGTCACTGAAATAAGAGGGTTTGGGTTTTTAGTTTTTTCTTGGTAGAAAAGTCAGATATTTTCACAAGATTTGTCTTTCTCCCTCACAGCTCCAGAAGTCTTGAACAATCAGAGATACACCCTCAGCCCTGACTACTGGGGGCTAGGCTGCCTCATTTATGAAATGATCGCTGGACAATCGCCATTTCGTGGAAGGAAAGAGAAGGTAAAGAGAGAAGAGGTGGACAGGAGAGTGCTGGAGACAGAAGAGGTGTACTCCCATAAATTTTCTGAGGAGGCCAAGTCTGTCTGTAAAATGGTAAGGGGATTTGGCAGCTTACTGTGAGAGATTCATTAGCAAGCTATGTCCAACAGTTCCACCATAAACTACAGCGCAGAGGGCTGCAGAAATCCACTGGTTCATTGCCAGGAAACTTACATCCACTGTTCATCCAGATTGTGTTGAGTGGGTTCATTTGGCCTTTTTCCCCCTCAGGGCTAGTTTGACTTTCTTCATAATCATCTTGATTTTATGTAACATTTTTGGATGAGGAAACAGCATAAGCCTGGGAAGTAGAAATGTGAGGGTGCTGCATCTCCCCCAGGTTTGCACCGGATGCCTCCACTGCTGGCCCTGTACTGGGGTCCCAGCTGCTGGCCTGCACTGGGGGAGAGGGCCTACTGCTGCCTGGGGTCCTGGCCCAGGGACTCTTCTGCTGGCCCCAGCCTGGGCCAGTGAGAGCCGTGGAAAGGGACAAGAGGGGTGCAGCTCAGCAGTCGTATCTGTATTTCAAAGACTTTGACCATCAGATTGTAGCCGAGAATGCTCCTTGTGACTTTTATACCCTTGTGGGAAGAAAGGGTCTGACGCTACAGAACTCTTGAATGTCTCGTGCAAGCCCTGAGCATTCTTAACTGCAATTGTCTTCCTTCACCTAGATTACCTAATGAAAGTGTTGTGGGCCCCCTCCACCACTACAGCAAGCAACTGCCTTTGCCATCAGTCATCCCTAGGGCTGTCACACTGACTGGCTTGTTAAATCACTGTTGGACTCTCCTTTCAAATGTCTTTCTGTTACCCCGTCAGCTGGGAGTGCTCTTTTTTAGCACCATGGCCATTGCTGGTAACCTCCTCCAGGCATCCCTCAACTCTGCCCTGAGAGCACCATGTGAGACTCCAGCGGCAATTTAAAGGGCCCGGAACTCTGGCCACTTCCATGGTAGCAGTGGCCCAGCAGTCGAGAGACCCAGGCCCTTTTGAATCGCTGGACCCTGGGACAGAAGCCCCCTTTGCCGCCTAAGTCAGTGGACCTGCTAGTAATGGAAATCTCCAAACCACTTAAGAGTTAATCAATGACATTCCAGCATACCTCCTCGAAAGGCCAACGTTCAGTGTGGAAGGGGGTGTTACCTTGACCTTGAATTTCTAGTGTGGTGTCCGGCAGGGTAATGCAAACTAGCTGAGAAGCAAAAGGAAAAGCAGGTTAATGAATAGACGGTTCAAGCTTCACCCATACCTTGCACAACACACAGGCAAGCAGGCAGTTAATATCATTCTGGGTGTTGGGCGGCATAGGAGCTACTGAGGTCTCCTAGAAAACTAAGAACAGCATCATTGCCAAGCATCATAAGTGCAAGTCATTAACTCACAGTGCAGTAACCCAGTGCCACATCCCATGGAGTGGTAATTAACTGACATCACTCCTGATGGATTCTTGAAGCCATATGCTATTCCTGATCTGCGTGCAGAACCCCCCATGGATGTCAGTGGGAGCTGAGAGTGAGGGGTAAAGGACAGTGTGCGGTTCCTTAGTGATAGTTTTGTGCACTCAAAGTCTGCCTTCTCCTGACCAGCCCCATGTCAACTAATAACACACCTTCTGGTAGCAGCATGGTGTTTGTGAGCCATGCAGCATTAACTTTACATTACACATGAAACAGAATCCTCCAGCCCCTTAAAAAGAAACAGCTAGGAGACAAAAACAATTTATGATTCTGTTTCTGCACCTATTTATAGGTGGGGGAAAGTGTCCCTCAGAACAATATAATGTAGCTACTGTCCATGAAAAGTTAAAGCTGAGGAGAGCAAGTCTGAGGGTTAGTGGAATGGTGGTGGAATTGTCCCATCATTATCAGAAATCAGCCAATAAATCTAGATGAGGTTGAATGGCAGTTGGATGTAGCTGGTGCTAGTGATAATCTCTTAAATCCACCATGGGAAGCGCCTCATACACTTAGAGCAGTCTTCAAAATTAGTAACAATACATAAAAAGAACTAATAATGAGTTCCTCAGTACTCAGACATCACAAAACCTCTCCTTTAACTCTGTCAGAGAGACTTTTATCATTTCTCCAGGTTGCTGGAACCTGGGACATCATACCCATTGGCTATTGCAATACACAGTATTTTATTGTATCCCTACTTCTCTGTTTCCTAACCCATTCAATATCATTATGTGTCATTCACTGAGTCTAGACCACGGGTATAGTGTCTTAATTTTCTAACCTTAAAAAGATTAGTTAAAACAAAGTCTCTTTTTTATGTGCATGTTTCTATTTTGAGACCAAAATTAATCGAATGGGGCCTCTTATATTAATTGACTTAATGGGTGCTGTGACTCTCCTTGTGCTATTTCCCCCCCATGCTCAGCATTTTCCATAGTATCCCCAAAATTGCTTCCAGTCAATTTAGGATTGCAGCGACACAGAAATGGCCTCTGACATTAGAGTTGGAATTCCCAACTGAGCTCTGAATTGGTGAGACCATAGAATCAGCGAATGCTTTGTGTCAAAGTGTGGAGCATTAGCATTAGTGCAGCATTGCCATTTCAGGCCATCATGTGATAACCTGGACTGATGATTGTAAATACCTGTGGATTAAATTCTGCCCTCACTTACACCTCGTGCTTGTGTCACCCTAACGGAGACTATTACTGCTTAGGATCAACTTCCCTGATTAGTGGTAGCATCTCTAGAAGTTCTCCTTGTAGTTTTGTTCATAGGCCATAGGGTCTGCACTAGATTATAGAATGATTGCTTGGGCTGTTTGGCTAATGTCCCAAGAGACCTTGCCATCAGCCGTGATGCATCTGCTTTTGTTCTGTTTTATTCATATTAAATGCGCCCTTTGCAAAACGAACATTAAAAAGAAATCTCTCTGTCAACTCTAGAGATAGCTTAACACACACAAGTGCCATCTCCGTTCCTCGCCATATCTGCATGGGATGGGTCTCGTATCCAGGTTAGCTATTGCTACAGTACATTGCAGCTTCAGGAGGCAGGAGGACCTGTCAGTGCCTGTGGAGGGGTGGGCCACCTCCTACAAAAAAAACCAGTTCACTCTACTTCCTGCCAGCAGCAGCAGAAGATAAGCGTCTCCTACGCCACCTGAGCGATCGAACATCGGGAAATCCTTATAGAATTTCCATATGGTTCAGGTTTGTCCCTGCTGGGAGTCCCTGCTGCTTTATGGAGATTGCTCAGCAGCGCACAGCAGCTTTTCTTTATTGCCCTTAGGCAAAGGCAGAGCAATCTATGTTGCTGCCCTGTAGCCAGGCAGGGGAATCTTGCCCTTTCTGTGCCCATGTGGAGGTCCCCCAGCTAGTGCACTCTCCTCTCAAACCAGTGGGGCCTGCAGCTACTGTGGGCCCTGGGGCAAGGTGGAGGAGGGCCCAACTCCCCACCCCAGAAGGGGCAGGACCAAGGACAGTCAGCTATTAGCGCTGCCCGAACTGCAGCGCTGGGCCCCCTAGCCCTCCAAGCAGCTGCTGTTGAAGTAGTAGCAATGGAGGCCAGGAAATCCAGGCCCCTTTGAAATGCTGGACCACCATGCAGTTGCCCCCTTTACCCTCCCCCCGTTGGTGGGCCTGTCTCAAACAGACCCCATTGCACTAGCAGAAGCAGCTTCCAGGCATTGGCCCCCACTAGAGATGATACAGATGTTGGCATTTCAATGGGTCTTATGAGGCAGTTTCTCAGCAGTGGCCAGACAGCTGTGCAGTGACCAATGTTTGCAGCCAATTCCCAGCCACCTGCTCCACCTCGACCTCAGCAGCCAAAACCAGCAACGCACTAGCTGCCAACTCCGTTCCCAAAAAACGGCTTCAGCATCAAAGGTTGTTGCAAATTGGCTCCTGGATGCCACTTAGGGACTCAGGTCTTCCCAGCAAGCCCCACCCAGACTCAGTCACCACACCCTGTGACCGCAGGAACCTGACAGCAGCCAACATTTTCAGCCAAACGAGGATCAATTCCCAGATTGATATAATGTCCCCAGCCGGCCCAGAGATCATAGCTCTGCAAGGATATTGGAAACTGTCATTGAGCAATAGGACCCTTTTGTCTTCCTTGCAAGAACTGCAGGCATCTTATATCTAACACAGGTTACTCCACAACTACCCTTGCCAACTGCATCTCCGTTATCAGCAGTGCTGGCCCTGGGAGCTTTTGGCCATCAGTAAAACATGTCCCAGGAAAAAGCCAGCACAAGTCAAGTGGAAGAGCCAGAAGGAACGTAAGAGCCTTCTGCCTTGGAGTGGAATCCTCTCACATGAGAAGAGGATCCCTTCAGCATAAAGGCAGGATATGGCTGTGGGCTTTGTCCACCCTTCCCAGGAGGTACAAGAATCTGGCTGGGGAAAAGTCAGACCCAGGTGGGAAACTCCTCAGGCCACCAGAGCTTGGTGAGCTTTCCCTAGAAAGGGCTAAATGCAGACTCCTGCTGTGGTTTTAAAAAAAATGCAGAGAAATATGCCTCAGGAGTCACAGTCTCATTCAAGCCGTCAAAAGCAAAACTTCTTCCCCTCTCCCCTCCATCTGAGGAAGTCAAGTTGTCTGATTTGACTCCAGCAGAAGAGTCCCGAGAAGGATTCTTTCCTCTGAACTGTTTTAGCATGACGTTGTATGAGGTCATCATTGGATCTTGACTACTTGAACCTCTTGTGCACATAGGGTGGTGAGCCAACAAATAGATGCTGCCCTTCAAATCCCCTCTACTCCCCCCCCCCAAAAAAAAACATGAAGATGATTAGATCGAATGGAGATACAAGTCAGAGACCCTGAAATGGTCTCAAAGGTTCCATGCAGTCCCAATGCAAAAATCAGAATGTCTCACTCCCAATGTTAATATTATCATTGACAACATGTGAATTAATTGGAGGGGCCACCTTTTACGCAGCATTTGCCATAGTCAGTCTCCCTGTCATGGCAATTACACCTCTGCCACATTAATATTCTGCTGATTTGGCATCTCTTGCACGAGCTATTCAGAGGTGTATCATTGTCTCATAGACTTTAAGGTCAGAAAGGACCATTATGATCATCTAGTCTGACCCCCTGCACAGTGCAGGCCACAGAATCTCACTCACCCACTCATCTCCCTCTCCAAGGCTGAGGACCACTAGCCAGTGGCTTTGATATCAGACTTGCCTGGAAACTCTTTGTGACTAGATTTGTGATAAGCCATGTATGGATCAGGCAGTGGTAGACAAACCACCAAACTGTTGGTACCAGCCTGGGAGCAAACTGGAGAAGTCTTAGGAGATGTGATCTTGTAAGTCAAGGGTGAGGGCAAGAAACTCCCGTCATTAGGCAGACACCTGAGGAGCGATTACTGACCTTCTGTCATAGAATCAAAGAACTGGAAGGGACCTTGAGAGGTCATCGGATCCAGTCCCCTGCCCTCATGGCAGGACCAAGCACTGTCTAGATCGTCCTGTGTCTCTCTAACCTGCTCTTAAATATCTCTAATGATGGAGATTTCACAACCCCCCTAGGCAATTTATTCCAGGGTTTATCCATCCTGACAATTGGGAAGTTTTTCCTAATGTCCAACCTAAACCTCCCTTGCTGCAATTTAAGCCCAATGCTTCTTGTCCTAGCCTCAGAGGCCAAGGAGAACAATTTTTCTCCCTCCTCTTGTAACACCCTTTTAGATACCTGAAAACTGATATCATGTCCCCTCTCAGTCTTCTCTTTCCACATCTTTCTTGAAATGCGGTGCCCAGAACTGGACACAGTACTTCAATTGAGGCCTAATCAGTGCAGAGTAGAGTGGAAGAATGGCTTCTCGTGTCTTGCTCACAGCACCCTTGTTAATGCATCCCAGAATCATGTTTACTTTTTTTGCAACAGCGTCACACTGTTGACTCTTGTTTAACTTGTGGTCCACTATGACCCCTAGATCTCTTTCTGCAGTACTCCTCCCTAGATAGTCACTTCCCATTCTGTGTGTGTGAGACTAATTGTTCCTTCCTAAGTGGAATACTTTGCATTTGTCCTTAGTAAACTTCATCCTGGTTACTTCAGACGATTTCTCTAGTTTGTCCAGATCATTTTGAATTTTGACCCTATCCTCCAAAGCCCTTTCAACACCTCCCAGCTTGGTATTATCTGCAAACTTGATAATCGTACTCTCTATGCCATCATCTAAGTCATTGATGAAGATATTGAACAGAAATGGTCCCAAAACAGACCCCTGTGGAACCCCACTTGTTATACCCTTCCAGCATGATTGTGAACCATTAATAACTACTCTCTGAGACCAGTAATCCAGCCAGTCATTCATCCACTTTATAGAAGCCCCATCTAGGTAGTATTCCCCTAGTTTATCAGTAGCAAACAATCCTTGTGTGGTTTGTCCTCATCCAGCTTCTGCAGCTAGAACTGGTTGAAGATAATAAAGTTGGAGATAATAAAGAAGGGCCTGATGATTTGTCTTCTTGCCAGCTGAAGGCTTGCCAGTCCAGCCCTTCCTGGGATGGGAGCTCCAACAACCTTTCAGTTCAGAGTAGGATGTGAGTGGTGTGCTGCATAGACAGGAAGGGGACAACTACTACTATGTCTTTCTTATGTGGAAGCAATCTCCCCAGAGATATTCTCTGAGAGGGAGCCATGTCCCTGCTAATTATCTGCCTCTTCAGGGTGCAGAAGCTGCTAGGAATTGTCAGCTTGAATACTCAGAAGAGACAAATAAATCAGACCGTGCTAGGGAGTCTATTTGTCTTGGGGGTTGCCTACTTATTCGGCCATGTTTTTCTAACGTTTTAGAAAGTGTGATCCTGCTCAAATGCTAGATGTTTGCAATGTAGTGGCTGCAGATCGCTTTTCCTCTGCTGCCCCCTGGCGAACAGTCATGTTCTAAGTAAAGAGCAGCTGACTTGTGTGAACTATCAGCTTTACCCTCCTATGTAGTAATTTCCTTCTATATTGAGAATGAAGCTGTATTTCTTCCTCCCGGGTCCTTCTTTTTTCTTCCTTTTCTAAGTACTTGGAGAAAAGGGGAGAACACACCTTATGAGCCTACTGTGATAAAGTCCTTTTTTTAACCTCAGGCTTATGCTAGCCTGATCGGCCCACATTCCATTTAGCATATGTTTTTGACTGCCTTTTTGGAATCACACTGCCAAAGGAGTTTGAGTTAAAACTCTCCAATTGGATGTTCCCCAGGTGGTATTTCCCTGACTCTAGTAAGTAACTTCTCATTTAAAAGGACAGATTTCTTTATTCTCTCCCAATCTTCCAGTGTTAGAAATCAGCATTTGCTAGAGAGGATATCCACACAGATTTAACTTTATTTTTTTTAAATCAGTTGATTTTATTGCATGTTTATTTTCTTTTGATTTACCGTGGGGTGGTATTTTTCACAATATTAGCCAACTGCAGTCTCTTGGGTGGTATGAGTTTATTAGGAGTTCTGGTTCATGTTTCACTGCTTTGGCTAAAAACATATGCATACATGAAAAAGCCACTTAAATTGAATGAAGACAACCTCTCTGCCACAACCCTTTCAGGTCATGATCAGTTCTACAGTTCAGGAGAATGTCAGAAATTTGTCATGTCATAGCATAGAAACATAGACTCATAGAACACTGGAACTGGACCTAGTACCAGGCAGGACCTAGTACCGTCTAGACCATCCCAGATAGATATATCAGCTGCTGAACAAAGGTAGTGATTAATACATGGCACTGCCTTTCTTTCACTGCTAAAAAATAATAATTAGATTGAATAAATACCATGTTATCAATAATTGGTTTGTTTTCATTGATCTAAAAGGATTAGGCAACAGATACCTGTACATTCTACCCTTTCATCCATCAAAACAGCTCACTCATTGAACCACTAATTGATCTCTCCCAGACCAATTATCATAAACAGAGGTCTCCCTATGGATCCTGGTTCTAACACTCATCTCTCTGTGGTTATCTTCCTGTGCATGTTTATCTAATTTATCAATTATGCTGAGTTCAGTTAATCCCCATTGCCCTATTAAGAATCTCTGCCAGCAGGGAGAAAATCCCTGCAGTCAAACTGATTCTGTTGGCTTCTCCAGATCTCTTCCACGGCTGCCAATGGGCTTCCCTCAGTCCATCACAAGACACCTGAATTTAGGATCGAGGAACAGATATAGCCATGCAGAAATGGTGTCCTGTGCTGCCCTGTAAAAATCCAGGCCAGGGCTGATGAAGGTTGGATACGTTGTTGATACTGACATATTGGACCTTCAGCTAGCATGAATCAGACTTCACTGGGAGCATATCAAACCTCCTCTTCTCTAAACCTCCCATTTAAAGTAAGCCCTTGTCTACGCTACATGGTGGATCGATTGATGCAGGGTCAATCCATCGGCCATTTATTTATAGTGTCTGCTGTAGACATGATAAATCAATCTCTGAGAGTGCTCCTGTCGATGCTGGTATTCCATCAAGACGAGAAGAGTAGCCGATGTTGACAGGAGAGCAGCCCCCATCAGCCTTACTGCATTCAAGATGCTGCAGTGAATATGACGACTTCAGCTAAACTGTTTCCACAGCTGAAATAGATCAGTGGTGCAGGTAAGTGCAGACAAGGCCTAAGTGAGAGAAGGCTATCGGATATAGGACAATACTACTTAGATTGTAAGCAATTTGGGCAGACCTTTGTCTCTGTATTTGAATAATGCTTAGAACAATGGAGTTTAGCCTTGAGAATCTATCACAATGCAAATGCTAAGTGATGATAATAATTCTCCTCTTCCCACAACCAGTATTCGAGTGCAAACAGGAGGGAAAATATGATCATAAGTCTCTTGCTTTTCAGGCTTTCTTACAGTCTTTCCTGGTCTGTTTCAGCTACTGGCCAAAGATGTGAAGCAGAGGCTGGGATGCCAGGGGGAAGGTGCAGTAGAAGTGAAGAAGCACCCGTTCTTTAAGAGCATGAACTTCAAGCGACTAGAAGCGGGAATGTTGGACCCTCCTTTTGTCCCTGATGTGAGTAGCATACAGTAGAGGGAACCCATCTTACCTGGATTTAAAGAGAATGTATGACACACACATTTCTTTCGAAAATGACTGCTCCCTTATATTTCCTAGGCCTGACAATGCCTTGTTTCATTTCTTTTGTGGATAGCCGGTAAAGATGGTGAGCACATTTAAATAAAACCCTTTCCTGAGCCCCAAACTTAAAACTAAGTCTTTTCTTGGGTCCCAGAAGAACTCCGTTTCTTTCTTCCCCCTTTTTGTGCGCTGTAAGCTGCTCCAGCTGGAAAGGAGCAGGCAGTTCACAAGAAAGCATATTTTCACAGAATTCCTAGTCCAATTTTGAAGACATACGAGATTCACAAAGTTCAGCTAAGCATTATGTATATTTGTTCAGAGAGGAAGAATGGTCAAGTCTTTGATGACGTTGGTTCAATTCTCTATACCACTAGAAACTTCCAGGTTGACCTGGGTCTGGTCTTATTTCTTGTCTGCACTAACCCCTGCCATCGATCTAATTTACGTCGCTTCTGCTACGCAAGAAGTGTAGCTGAAGTCAATGTACTTACCGCGGCATCTTGCATGTGGAAAGGTCAGTGGGGGCTGCTTTCCCATTGATGCCAGCTACTATTCTCATCCTGGAGAGTACCAGCATCAATGGGAGAGCACTCAAAAATCGATATACTGGAGATCTGCTTCAGTGTCAATCCCCAGCATAGTGGAGACAAGCCCTTACACTTTCCAGGCCTCAGTTCCGACCTGTAAAATGGGGATAATCTGTTGCCTGATCTCAGAAAGATGATGTGAGGATAGATACTTTGTAGATTGTGAGCTAGTCAGATATGGCAGTAATGAGGGCTATTTAAGTACCCTAGCTAGTTACGTTTTTGGATTAAATGATTAAACTCTGGATCTGGAATTGAAACAGCCCAATATTCTGATTTGGGTGAATAAGTCTGGCCCATTATAAAAAAAAATTAGAATCTGGTTTAGGTATCAAACACCTCCCAAAGACTGCATTTCTCAAGTTGTTTGAAATAGATCCCAATTCTGATCCTCCTCAAGAGATTTGCCCCTTGCTATTGCACACACTGAAGATCTGTATTGCAGTGACAGTAATAAAACTTTCAAAGCCCTTTGTGGTGTATATCTCCTCCCCTATGCACAGAGTTCCATGATAACTTTCCTCTTCCTAGCCTGTCTATCTGGCTAGGCTTTCTAGCCTTAAAGCAAGGGTTGGGAACGTAAGGTGGATGTGGCCCCGACTTACTCAGGCTGCGCCTCCAGCATTGGGAAGCCCACACTGGTGATCCAGCTCCTCCCCTCCTCCGTCGCCTCTCCACAGGGCTTAAGCACACAAAATATATTAGGCTGAGGCCCCCAGGCTCTGGTGTGTGAGGGGAATGTGGGGAGTGTCTTTTTCCTTCTCAGTTGGGGGACATGTCAGTGAGGAATTTTGTTTTGTTGTGTTTTGTTTTGCTTCTCCCTTGTGTGTGGGCCGCAACTGATTTTTCTGTGGGTCAGTGGCCCCCAACCCACAAAAGGTTCTCCACCCTAAAGTTCCCATATGGTTTTAGCCTGTTAGGGAAAAGTAATAGTTTGGGGGCTCTGATTTGCATTGCTGCAAACTCGATCACACCAGAGCGGTTTAAACGCTACACAGGTTTACATTAGCTGCTCTGGTTGGCTTTGCAGTTTACTATGTAGCCTCCTTATTCCTATGAATTAGCCCATCGTGTTCTGACCTGCTTCAGTGGGAAGAAATAGGAGACAAACTAGTGTTTCTTTCTCATGAAGAAAATTAGAAAATTCTGGACTCAAATATGGGATGAGCTAAAGCCTATGGAAAGCTGAACTGTGGCATGTAATGGCTAGAGGGCATCTCATACATGTGTTTGCTAAATAGAGACACACCATTTTTTTTTGTCCCTTAAAGGGCAGGCTGGCAACTTACTGACACAAGAGCTACACCTAAGCTAGATCATTCAGCACTTACAGAATTCTCTTCATTTATAGATCTGAAAGCTCTTTACAAAGAGAGGTATAGTATTGTTACAGCCATTTTACAGGGAGGGTAGCTAAAGCACATAGAGGTTAATTGACTTGTCCAAGATCACGCAGTCAGGAATGAAGGTGGGAAGAGAACACATTCCTGCCACTGGACCATACTGCCCCCACAGAAAGTTAAGTAGACCATAGCTGTCTTCATCTTTAATAAGAATGCACACCAGACAGAGAATGTAGAGTCCAGCATATGACACTTCATTTTGATGGATTTGGCCAGATCGCTCAGTTCTCTAGATAAAGTATTGCACGCTGGGCTCTCTAGGCTTTGCAAGCTACATTTATGCAATCTTTCTAAACATGGAAGTAGATCCCATTGTAGAATTCTGTGGGCTACACTAATTCTGCAAGTTGCATCTTGGTTATGCCCTGATCTGGCCCTCCTAACGCTTTGATCCAGCCTGCGGACTGCATCTGACCGCTGTCTATTTATATCCTGCTGCCTGTGCCACAAATTTCCAGGCAATGGCTAAGGCAGCAGGGTCCTATTTGAATGGCTCACAGCTTACAGTTGTGGCTAGAGATGTAAAATTTTGATTATTTGGCTAATCAAACAGTCGATGCATCGAATTGCATCGACTATTCGAGTAGTCAATAAGGGTGTTTCTGCCTTTGAAGTGTAGCAATGGCCCCAGGGTTGTTGCTACACTTCAAAGGCAAAAGCACTGTGGGGAGCACAGGGCCAGCAGGGGACTCAAGCAATCCCCCACTGGCCCCGTGTTCCCTGAGGGGTTTCAAAGCAGCAGCGCTGCATGGAGCCGGGGCCAGCTGGAGAGTCTCCAGGGTACAGCTGCACATGGCATTTCAAAGCACCCAAGGTCTGGCCTTAGGCTCCACGCGGTGCTGCCACTTTGAAGCACCCTCTTCCCTTCCACCCTCCTTGCTGCCTCTTTCTGACAGAGGCAGCAAGGCAGGGGAGAGCAACTAGCCGACTACCCTGTTGGCAAGTCATTCATGTCCCTAGTCATGGTGCTACCCCAGCAGGAGCCGGAGCCGGAGCCACGAGCCTTTTAAATATCCACATTGCTTGGATGGCTGCCAAGCAATGCAGTAGCAGTGGAGCCAGGAGCTGTGAGCCCTCTGCTGTGTTTTTAATTCAAACCCTCCAGCCCCAGACAACTCTGGGGGGAAGCTGGTTCTCAGCTCTGCCTCTTCCACCTGAGTCTCTGCCTTTCTCAGGGGGAGGGAGGGTGAAGTTGGCTTGTGACCATGTACCAAAATTCATTAAATGGCCTCCCAGCAAAAATTATTGCCCACCTCTGCACTAGGAAGTATTTCTGTTTTCTATTCAATATGGCTGATTACTGGTCTGTTAGCTGAGGAAATGTCTCTTCAAAATGAGGTGGCAGTCATTCCAGAGCACTAAGAAATTTATCAAAATAGTTAAAGGTACTTGATTTTGCATCTATAGAAGTGCAGCAGTGAGAATTATAGCAGTTCACAGGAATGGCTCTTGAGAGGTTCAAGTGGATGAGAAAGAGCTGAGCTATTAACACAAACAACAGAAAAACTTCCTCTGTGATTTTTAGCATTTAGTATAAATTCCTTTAAAGCTCCAAATTGCAAACACAAGAACTGACTGAGCAGAATGAGACTTTCATTGGGGTAGCCATGGCAGGTGTGCATTTTGTACAGATTTTCTAGTCTTTGAATGGCTGGTGTGTATGTCCCTCTCTCAAAAAAAACACTGCTATTTTTTTACACTTTGTTTAACCTTATCTTATTTTTTCTGTCCTCATCCCCTAACCTCTTAGTCACATGCTACCTGGATGACTAAAACCCACTGTGGTTCTGCTGATGCTGTCAGGACTTCAAAGGAGAAAGCTTTAAATGCTCAAAGCAAGTCAGCCTTTGATGATAAACACATGGGCAGAGCAGGTATAGGAAGGCAGGGTGCAGCTAGTCACTTGTGGTCAGACATTCTCACTTGAATGAGTGTGTGAATAAAAGCATGTGTGCAAACTCAAAGACATTTTCTCTCTTGCTTTTTTTCTGCTGAGACAGCCCAGAGCAGTGTACTGCAAGGATGTGTTAGACATCGAGCAATTCTCCACAGTGAAAGGAGTAAACCTGGACCAAACTGATGATGATTTCTACTCTAAGTTTTCCACAGGATCTGTATCTATTCCATGGCAGAATGAGGTAAGGGAACACCATGATCATATATAACCCCAATGCAGTTTCTTAACTCGGGCTGCTTTGTATGCTTTCAGTAATATATACCCATTGGGTGACGTGCCAGACTCTAATGCATTCATAAGTCACAAATGCACTCTTTCAGGATCTATAAAGTACCACAGATGTCAGGTTCAGGTGACTCTATCTGCTGATTCTGCATATTTGTGTAAATTGGCAAGGGCACGCCTGTACTTCCTCCTGCTGATTTCCATAGAGATGTTCTGATAGCAGCTCCAAAGAACTTCCGCAGGATGGCTTGCTGCCTTAATGTGGTGCTCTATTTGTGACACTCATCTCATTCATTACTTTGTATCTGATGGGCCCCAGCTGCGGCATTTGAATCTGGATCTGAACTTTCCTCAAGTGCCAGGGTTTTTGATTGGGGGATTTGTTCTGCCTGCTGTAGAAACAGAGCCAGCAGTGAAGTTCAGATCCAAGTGTAAACTTCCCCATAGTCTAGGAGGTGGGGCTCAAAGCCAGCCTTTTGGGATCAAGCCAATCTGTATTTTATATTCTCCAATGTAGAAAAAGAAAAGCAATGCAAAATGTAAAGGGGTTTTCTCTTAATAACTGGAATAGTGCAGAATCATATGCATTAGAGACTGAAGCCTTCTGTTAGGTTTTATTTCCTGGTTTCCTCCTGCCAGTATAGTTCACAATTTGCTCTAACACAATATACTTTCCCCATTCAAACCCTTGATGGCAAAAGATTCTTTTTATACTGCATTCATTCCTCATGAGAGGTGATGAATAAGGTGGGGAAGCTGACTAAACTGCCCTGTTGTTTTGAACAGTGAGACTCTACCTCAAGGTGGCCAAGGTCAGGTTGTCTTGGGCTGTCAGCATTAGCTGTCAAAACTGCTTAGTTACGGAAGCTCCCAGTGAAAGTGAATGTGGTGTTTAGGCTGGGATGCTAACTCTGAAAATTGAACTGTACATCTTCAGTTTACTGAACAGCCACAGTAAACTGCCTAATGATAATAGCCTGAGAAGTGTCCTGTTGCATCTTGTTGTGTCCCTCTTTAGCTTATAAACTCTTTAGGTAAGAGTCTTTTACTTCATGCTTGTACAAAGCTTAATATAATGGGAGCCCTGATTCTGAATGGGGGATCTGGAGTATCTTGTAATATTAATAAATAATAGTAATAATGCATTATTATCTTTTTATTATTTCTGTGTTTTACCAGATGATAGAAACAGAGTGTTTTAAAGAACTAAATGTATTTGGACCAAACGGTACTATTTCACCAGACCTAAACAAAAGCTACCCCCCAGAGCCACCCAAGAAAGGATTACTACACAGAATATTTAAACGTCAGGTGAGATCTTAAATGTAACATAAAGAGCCTCTCTGAGTGCTGATGAACTTTTCTATATAATATGTATGCTACCCTGATGGTATTTCCATCATGAGAGAGCCGTGAAATACCAGGGAGGGCTTGTTCTCACAGTTTCCTTGTAACTTTCTGCTTGATGTTGCAGATTCCGTATGTTCAGGTGGTTCAAATTAGAGTCCATATGCAGGAATTCTTATTTGATTCAGTACTTTCAACATTCCAAGGACCGGCCTTAGCTAGTTTGGTATTTATTAGGGCTGGTTGAAAAGTTTCCGTCTAAACTGTTTTTAATGGAAAATTGTTTTTTTCAGCTAAATGATTTTGTGTGTGAGAGAGAAAATTGTCTGCTTTCATGGAAAATGTCAAGTTTTCATTAAATAAATGAACACCCAAAATATAGGCAATGTTGTCTGACTAGTGAGTCTGGCCCATAGAGGAGAATGGGAGCATGAGACATCTGACTCCCAAGAGACGCTGCAGCAACATTTCCAAATGAAAGTATTTGGGGGCTTGGCTGATACTTTTCAGTTTTTCAGTTTGCTGAAAAATCTGAATTTTCAGCAGAAAATAATCCCATTTCCTAACCATATTATTTATCATGTTCTCTTCAATAGACTGCAGTTTGTTTAGGCTGGAATTTAAGGGCACTTTCTATTCCCGACACTGGTCGCAGTCCCTCCCAATCTCTCAAGGTTTTAGTAACCCCTGGTGCAGCACCTAGATCCAACTAAGGCTAGTTCTAGACTACATGCTTCTTGTGCAAGAAGCTTTTTTCGAAAGAGATCTTCTGAAAAACTTCTTACGCAAGAGAGCATCCACACTGCAAAAGCGCGTTGAAAAAGCAATGTGCTTTTTCGAAAGATCTCGCATGTAAGTCTAACTTCAGTACCGGGCAAATTAGTCGAAACAATAGTAAAGAATAAAATTGTGAAGCATGTAGAAGAACATAATTTGTTGGACAAAAGTCAACATGGTTTCTGTAAAGGAAAATCCTGTTTTACTAATCTGTTAGAGTTCTTTGAAGGGGTTAACAAACATGCGGACAAGGGGGATCCAGTAGATATAGTATACTTGGATTTTCAGAAAGCCTTTGACAAGGTCCCTCACCAAAGGCTCTTGTGTAAATTACATGGCCATGGGATAAGAGGGAAGGTCCTTTCTTGGATTGAGAACTGGTTAAAAGACAGGAAACAAAGGGTAGGAATAAATGGTAAATTTTCAGATTGGAGAGGGGTAACTAGTGGTGTACCCCAAGGGTCAGTCCTGGGACCAATCCTTTTCAACTTATTCATAAATGATCTGGAGAAAGGGGTAAGCAGTGAGGTAGTAAAGTTTGCAGATGATACAAAACTGTTCAGGATAGTCAATACAGAAGCAAACTGTGAGGGACTCCAAGAAGATCTCACCAAACTGAGTGATTGGGCAACAAAATGACAAATGAAATTTAATGTGGATAAGTGTAAAGTAATGCACATCAGGAAAAATAACCCCAACTATACGTACAGTATGATGGGGGCTAATTTGGCCACGACAAATCAGGAAAGAGATCTTGGAGTTATCGTGGACAGTTCTCTGAAAACTTCCACACAGAGTGCAGCGGCGGTCAAAAAGGCAAATAGGATGCTAGGAATTATTAGGAAAGGGATAGAAAATAAGACCCAGAATATCTTACTGCCCCTGTATAAAACTATGGTACGCCCACATCTTGAATACTGTGTACAGATGTGGTCTCCTCACCTCAAAAAAGATATTTTGGCCTTGGAAAGGGTTCAGAAAAGGGCAACTAAAATGATTAGGGGTTTGGAATGGGTCCCATATGAGGAGAGGTTAAAGCGACTGGGACTTTTCAGTTTAGAAAAGAGGAGACTGAGGGGGGGATATGATAGAGGTATATAAAATCATGAGTGGTGTGGAGAGGGCCGATAAAGAAAAGTTATTTATTAGTTCCCTAAATAGAAGAACTAGAGGACACCAAATGAAATTAATGGGGAGCAGGTTTAAAACTAATAAAAGAAAGTTCTTCTTCACACAGCGTGTAGTCAACCTGTGGAACTCCTTGCCAGAGGAGGCTGTGAAGGCTAGGACTATAATAGAGTTTAAAGAGAAGCTAGATAATTTCATGGAGGTTAGGTCCATAAAAAGCTATTAGCCAGGGGATAAAATGGTGTCCTTGGCCTCTGTCTGTCAGAGGCTGGAGAGGGATGGCAGGAGACAAATCACTTGATCATTGTCTTCGGTCCACCCTCTCTGGGGCACCTGGTGCTGGCCACTGTCGGTAGACAGGATACTGGGCTAGATGGACCTTTGGTCTGACCCAGTACGGCCGTTCTTATGTTCTTATGTTCTTATGTAAGCAGCAATTGCTATCGACAGAATGGCCGCCAGGGCACCTGTGCTTTTTCCTCTTCCCTCTTCTTCTGAAAAAACTCCCTCTTCCCCGTCCACACATGCCTTTTTCTGAAAGAGCTCTTTCACAAAAAGGCTTCTTCCTCGTAGAATGAGGATTACCAGTTGGGCAAAAAGCCCTCTGTTCTTTCGATTACTGTTAAAAGAACGCACTTGTAGTGTCGACGTAACTCAAGTTTTGTTGGGAGAACGGCTGGTTTTTTGGCAAAACTCTGTAGTCTAGACATAGCCAAAGGCTGTTCTGATTTCTTTGTGTCCCATGCGCCTGGGCACTGTCAGTGCAAAGACCACCCATTAAGAATGGTGCCTTAGCAAAGCTGGCTGCGAGGCTGGGAAACTAGTCATGCTAATGAACCCAAACCCGGTTCCTTCCATCCCAAAACGAGCACCTCTTCTGCCTTTCTTCACCTGGGTTCCTTGCTGCATGACTGAAGCTCACGACTGAGACTTAGTTTTCTTATTTTCCTGGGTTGCATGGGTAATCTACACACCTACTGGATGTGGTTCACTGTCTCGTGTAGTGGCACTTACAGAGAGAGAGAATGAGTTTCCTCTGCTGCCTTAGCTGAGAGCCTGCTGGCTTTTAGCTCATGCAGTAAAGGCTCATGCATCAAACTCCAGAGGTTGCAGGTGCAGTTCTGCCTGTTGCTACTATACATGCACAGCACGGTGCCCTCTTTGCAGTGGTGTGTGCTGAGCCCACATTTGCAATTCCTAACACTTTTTGCTGTGTTGGCACTGACATACCTACCCACCGACTCTATTTAAGAATGACAGGCCTTATTTTTTTAGAAAATATGGACCCTTTGTCCACATAGCATTTTGAGCCCAGCACAATACATTGGAATTACAAGGCATGTCTCTCTAAATGTGAGTAGGCATGCTCAGATTAAGGCAAGGCGTAAGAGGCCAGAACTGTTTATGCTGTATTGAATTGATTTCTCTAACTTGTATCATCTTCTCTGTTGCTTTGGAGAGCTGCCATGGTTCTCCTGACCCATGGTGAATAAGGATCAGCACACTCAATAAGTTTTGTTTGAATGTTCACAATGTTACAAGACCAGAAACAGGCAGGATAATGTGAGGCAGAAGGCAGGTATGGGATATTTTGGGGATATAAATATTGTTTTTTTCCTTTCTCCAGCATCAAAACAATTCCAAGGGTTCACCGAATTCTAAGGCGAGTTTAAATCACCACATAAATTCAAATCATGTAAGTTCAAATTCTACCGGAAGCAGCTAGTTCGAACTCAACTTTCATGAAACAACATGTTGCACCCTTTCACTATAATCTATGGAGCTTCTAAGGATGAGAGAGCATCCACCGTTGAGTTAAAAAAAAAATAAATATCTCCCACCAGTGGAGATATTCTATCCATTCCTTCCAGTGGAGCCTCACATTTTATGAAGAAATTTCCACTCAGGTCTGTTTTTGGAGGTGGCACTCAAGATTGTGTGAATCAGATTTGTCTATGTAGAACATTGCAATAGAAATTCAACGAACATGACTACTTGCACGTATTTAAATAGCATCATACTAGAACTGAATTTTGTCTTTATTATTTTTAAAGAAAAGTTTTGTAAATTTCTCTATTGTCTCAGTTTACATTTTGTACATTTGTATTTAAATGAAAGTCAGACTTTGGGGGTGTATATTTTCTGAGTAGCAGCTGTAAAGCCATGTGTTTTAAGACTTTTTTTTAAAAGAAATGTGATTCAAGACTTCCAGAGCCTCAAATGAGAAATCATTCTTTTTAGTAAGTGAAAAAAATTATTCATATTTCACTTTCTCAAGTTGGTTTTACTGACATGTATTTTTATGGCACAGTTTATTCTTAATTATTTTACATCTGTATATTTGGTTTACAGCAACACTGCATACATTTTTCCCCTTTGTTGGTTTGTAAAGTCTTGTATTAAATGCTAAAATATGTAGGCAAGACTTTGCTGCATCTAAGAAAACTATTTGCTATGTCTGAGATCTGTAACGTCATGGGACCAGCACTGTTGAGATTTGCACTTATTTTTGTTGTTAGAGCATCACAATATTTATTGTTTTAAATGGAATCCTGTTTTCAGCCCTCCTTTTCAAACTTTTTTTTTTTTTTTACTGTTGCTAATGAGAGGAAGAACAAATATTAGCAAGAGGAGATAAGGAAGACAAGTTGTCATCAGTTCTTCAAAGGCCTGAAATCCCGCACCCATTGAAATTAATAGCAAAGCTTCCATTGATTTTAGTGATACAGGATCAAACCACAAGTGATAGGCTTTTATGACAGTTGTTCATGTCAAGCAGCTACCAGGAGATTGACTCTATAGCCCTGTCTGCAGGGCTGTCCTTAGGCGGGTGCAGGGCTTGGGACAACCACCGACTCTGCCCCAAACCCCACTCCTACTCCACCTCTTCCTGCCCCTGCCCTGCCCCCATTCCACCCTTTCTCCCAAGCCCCTGCCCTGTCCCCACGCTGTCCCTTTCTCCGAGGCCTCACTCACCTCTTCCCACCCCTTCCATTCCCTGCCCCACCACTGTTCCCGCTCTGCTCTTTCCCCCAAGCCCTATCCCCTACCCAGCCCCGATCTGTCCTCATTCTCCCCCTTTCGTAAATCTCCTGACCCCTCATCTCCCGAATGACTCCGGGAACTGGCAAGGCAGAGTGGAGTGGAGCCAATGGCATTGCCCCAGTCCCTCATCCCCCTGAAGACTTATGGGGTCTGGGGCGACTGCCCTGAACCATCCAGTGTATGAGACGGCTCTACGTGTCTGTGTGGGCTAGGGAAGCTATAGGGGCCAAAGCCATAAAGGTTTGAGATCTCAGTTTGTCCAAATCCATTCTATCCATTCTGCCCCAGTCCACTTTCAAGTGAGCTGTTCTAGAGCCCCTTGCCTGCATCAAACATGGCAGCACTCCTTTTCTGGGCCCACTCCACCGGTGATGAAATTAGCTGAGTTTGGTGCCCACTGTAAAACAGTGTAGTTGGTCCTTTTTTCATTCTACAATGCTTCATCTTAGGCTACCCCAAATCGTTATTTAAAACAATTGTGCCACTGGTATCGACAGGCTCAGTCAGGTTCAATATCCACACTGTGAACCACTTAGCACATGCTTGCTGTGTGCTAGGAATGCATCTATTCTTAAACATGCCATGCAGGACCAAAGGTGTCAAATGCAGCTTTGTCCATTTCGGCTGACACGTTGGGAAACATTTGTCCTGCTGCTCCTACATTTGTCCCCCCTAGACCAGGGGTGAAGGAACCTGCGGCCTGGAGGGCAGATGCAGCCTCTGGCTTGCCTGGATCCAACCCCTGAGGCACGGGGCTACCCCCAGCATTGTGGAGCCCGTGCTAACACTCCAGCCCCGCTACCCCCTTCTGTGGGGCTGGAGCACACAAAATCTACTAGCCTGCCTCTCCTCCTCGCCCCCTGTAGGCTCTGGTGTGCAAGAGGAATGTGGGGAGTGTCTTTCTCCTTCTCAGTTGGGGGTTTTATTTTTGCTCTCTCACTTGTGTGCAGCCCCTGACTGATTTTTCTGTGGGTCAGCGACCACCGACCCCCAAAAAGCTTCCCCACTGGTTAAGTTCTGTGAGTCGCCTTGCACAGACCCTCTGCATCGGGGTAGATTTCACCCCATTTTAAGAAATGTAAGTGTGAATTCAAAGTGTGGATCTAAGGCGAGCCTTCATATCTGTGGGGCTTAATGTAGGCACGCTGTTTCAGTACCAATGGGTACACAAAGCTTTATGTGTAGAACTTGGCCTAGAATATCCTTATGTGGCCAAGTTTTTTCAGCGAGCGAGGATGCTGTCCACATGCCAGCACTACCTGCACAGTTCTCTGTGTGCACAGTATGCCAGTGCGCTCTCAAACCGGTTAATTCATAAGCACAAATGCTAAGCAAAGTGGTAGTTAGAATCTGTTTCATCTGCTCACTTTGTAGCATCACAGAGGCACCTCCCTCCCATCAGAGTAGCTGACAGACTTCTCCAGGCCCTGGTCACAGTGCATGGGGGCTGGCTGGAAGACAGAAGGGGCATGACTGGGGACTAGCCTCCCCAGCAAGCCCTTCAACCCCACCCCAAGCTCTGGCAGTGATTTAAAGGGCCTGGACCTCTGACCACTGCCATTAATGCTGAAGCAGCAGTGGCCACTGGGAACCCCAAGCCCTTTCAAATTGCCAGCCCCCAGGGCAGCTTGTCCCTTACGCCTCCCACCCCACATCGGCAGGCCTGTCTCCCGTTAGAAAATGTGGATAATAATATTTGCCCCCTCCCCAAGGGAGAGGGGTGAGGCTCAAATCGTGAATGCAATGAGACCCTTGGAGAAGCATCATTGTAAGAGTCGCTTAGAATATTCATCATAAACTGTGAGTGAGTGAAGAGTTTGTGTGGGAGGAGCTCGTTCTCGACATTTGTAACCATTTGATCCATGAGGACTCCGCTTCCTTTTTCCATTTTGTTTTGACGCTTCACCATTTAGATGAGAGGTTAGAAACCTAATTACACAGAACCCTCCCTGGGAGGCTGTTTGTTGAGGTTCAATGACCAATTGATAACACTGGCTAGAAGGAACATCTTGGAAAGCCTCCAATACCAGTCTTGACCACCAGTCCTGGGATTATCCTGCACAGGGCTCACCTACAATGTCACACTGTGCAGTTTGTTTTGTTTTTTGTTTTGTTTTGTTTTGTTTTGTTTTTTTGTTTGTTTTTGTTTTATGTTAGGTGGCTAATATCCCACTCAAGACTGGGCTGAGAACACACTGTGCTCACTCGTGCGAGCCGGTAAAAATTGTCTCACAGATTTCTATGGCTGGAACTCTAGTGAATCAATCTGTTGCACAAACTAGCTCTCTCAAACACAGGAAGCCTGAGTCTAAGAGATGGTGAATACTCTCAATTCAATGGGAGCTATGGGAGTTCAATGCCTCTACTTCTTTGAAGAGACCATACTGCTAGCAAGAGAGCATTTAGTACTCTGAATCATAATAAATAAATTTCAGGTGGGTTTGCACATAGCAAAAGAGTAGAAAGAAACAGCTATTTCATAATTTTCCAGCACAAGATTAATTTAATCTATTATCTTTCCAGTTAGAGCACAAGATCCTTCTGGGAAGTGCACAAGATTTGAGCTGGTTGAACTATTTGTATGAGTGGACTGTTGGAAATCATTTACAGACTGATTCTGAATTCAAATGGATTTATTTTTAAGTCTTCTCCAAATAGAGTGCTGAACAATTTTCAAGTTCAATGATTTGCTGTTCTTTACATGTGAAGGAGTCACATGGCATTTTTTTCTGCTTTCTGTTTGGACTGAAACTTCTAGAACATGAAAATAACAGCAAACAAATATTTTTGAGTGTGCTCCTATAACCTTGTTCATGTGAAAATAAGGATACTTGTGCACAAACAGCCTTCCTAAGATATGCATGCACAAAAACCTATTCATGCAAATGAAATAATGCACAAAGCTGGTCAAACCAAATAGCCAATAGGAATTCAAATTAATATTAATGAACGCTCTTCTTATAGTACTGAACCAGATCTATTCAATATATATACACTTAGGCTATGTCTAGACTACATTCCTCTTTTGAAAGAGGAATGTAAATTAGGCAAATGAAACACGGATTTAAATATTCCACGCTTCATTTGCGTATTCACGTCTGAGCACTTTTTCGAAAAAGGGTTTTTCTAAAGTGAAAGCGCAGTCTAGATGCGGTTCTTTCAGGAAAAAAGCAACCCTTTTTCGAAAGAACCCTTACTCCTCATTTTTTCAGCAATATGGGTTCTTTCGAAAAAAAAAATTTCAAAAGAACCGCATCTAGACTGTGCTTTCGCTTTCGAAAAACCCTTTTTTGAAAAAGCGCTCGGATGCAAATATGCAAATGAAGCGTGGGATATTTAAATCCACGCTTCATTTGCACTTTCAATTTGCCTAATTTTCTTTCCTCTTTCAAAAGAGGAATGTAGTTTAGACGTGCCCTATGGGATGTGTTCAATTGCCACTCTCTTTTTTTCAAAGGAAATTTTGAATGCCTTTAAGAAATATTTGAAGTCATTTGTGATTGCAATCCACACACCTACTGGGTGTAGTTCACTGTCCCATGCAGCAAGACAATGAGTCTGCTCTACAGCCTTAGCTGAGAGCCAGCTGGCTTTTAGCTCATGTAAAGACTTATACACTAAGCTCCTGAGGTCCCAGATTTGGTTCCATCTGCATTACAGGATCATTCCCCTCCATGGGTAATTTTGTCCTATTTCATTATAAGTAACTCACATGTAGTCTGACTTTGCTGATTGATTGGTGTCTTACTATAGATGCTTTTATTTCTTTTTCAGAGTATACATAGAATAGAACACACAAAATCCAGCAGAGACTATTTTTGTAAACCAACTCTCCTGTTCAAAGCTAGATCCAGCTGGCATCTTTACTTTTTCCACCCAAGTCTCACATTTCAAAGCCAGTTACCTTTTCAGCAGAGAAGCCTCAGATACACAAACTTCTGAAGTACAAACAAAATAAGCAGAATCAGGGAGAGACAGTGTCTATGTGCTCCTCAGTACAATTTGAGAACCAGATTAGTGTGTGGGTGTGTACATGGAAAAGGTTCCCTTCTTTAAGTTCACAAATTCTTCAGAGTTTGTAACACTCCCTCCCACATGTTAAATATATTGATCAAGATGAGATTGCTCATCCACTGCTCCTGAGCATTCTCTAAACAGCACTGGAAAAGTTGGACTTCTCTTTGCTTTGAAAGAATGCCCGTGGCTTAGTCTGCTTCTTGGGATAGGGATCATGTCTTCCTGTGTGTGTAAACAGCACCTAACACTATAGGACCCAGTTCTGGTTGAGGTCTTGGGCTGCTACTTTAATTTAAATAATAACATTCATACATGCCTAGTGCACGATGCCGATTTCATCAAAACAGCACCGGCACATTTGAGGGTAGTTAAAACACAGAGGCCCAGGGTGAATGGATTCAGACTGACCTGCCCTCGTCCTCTGTGGTGGTTCTCCTGAGCTGTCCCAGACTGGGCTGAGAAACATTAGCAAGGAAGTACAAGAGAAGTTGTGCATGTTACATGACTAAACAGAGGACATCGTTTTCCAGAGCCTTTCACAAGCACTAACTCAACCTGTCATTTAAAAAATAATAGTGTCTTTGGGCTAAAGCCGAGCAAACAGGGTTAATAAATCATATTACCAGCTTCTTTGCAGAACGGCTAACTCCTTTAGGGTACATTTATACTACAGAGACGATCAAAGCTGGTTTCAAATTACTGGATCTAGTGAAGACACGCTAATTTGAACTGATGGGGCATGCCGGTCAATGCCAGTAGTACTGTTCCCATGAAGAGTAAGGGAAGTGGAAGGAAGAGTGTTCTCCCTTTGATTTCTTGCAGTGTGGACAGTGCCAAAAATCGAGTTAAGCTACTTCGACTTCAGCTATATAATTAACATCGCTGAAGTTATGTATCTTAATTCAACTTTAGCCCGTAGTGTAGATGTACCCTCTGAGGTAACTAATATCATGCAGTGCTGTGAGAGGATGTTTAAAAAAAGGAGTCTGCTATCGACCAGCATGCTATCGTATTAGCCCGTTATTCAGCAGTCATACAAATATCAGCTGCCATGTTGGGTTCTGTTACTGCAGAATACTAGCACGTTTTTTTATAAAGGAAGAGCCATATGCTGAGAGACTCAAACACTGAATTACTTTACACTGACAGAGTGTCTGGCCCAGGTTTCCCGTTTGTTTGTTTGTTTAGATCTGGAATCAGAAGGGCTGGGCTCTGTCCCTAGCTCAGCCATTGATTTTCTGACTTCCCCCTGGCAACAAAATTAACCTATGTGTGTCTTAGTTTCCCTGTTCTTATAAAAGGCGGGATGACACTTATTCACCTTTGTAATCCACTTGAAAGCCTCCAGATAAAAAATGCTAAATATCAATATTATTTTTTATTGTTTGAATGAATTAAGCCTCATCTAGCAATTCTTACAACAGGACAACTCACATACATAAGTGTTCTTTTTTTTTTTTTAATAGTGTGTCCTAGTTCTTTTGAGAATCTGAGACTTTATGCACTTTGCCTCGGAGCTCATGGAATCGACTTTAAAGTGTTCATTTGCAGGTCTTAGAGAGCTGGTCAATAAGAACAATCATTCAAGATCCTCCCCTTTTTATATTAAAAATAAATAGCTGAGAAAGAGTGGACAAAAGATAATCACCCATTAAACTTCAAAAAATCTCTTTACCAGCTGAACCGTTGTTGCACATGTGACAGAATTCCTAGCTACTTGCAATGCTGTGTTAAATTAGAATGATACATATTGAACAAATATTGGGAAAACTTACTAGCCTGTCTAGGAAAATTAAAGAGATTATCACATTTCTAGGATCAAAGGACTTCAAAAGGGAATCCCGGGCCTTCTGTAAATCCGATGGCCCCCAAGGAAGCATCACTACCAGGGAAGAAGAAACATGTCAAATAGTGCCTGGATTATAAATGCATTTTCCATTCTCGTCATCCCAGAGCTGTTCAGTGTGTTTATTAACCAGTCCATGTGAGTTATGTTGTATGTGTTGAGTGCAATCTTCTTTGATTGCACTTCTTTTAAATACTGGACTCTCGTCTAAAAGACTCAACTTTTTGCCTTTACTTTGAATGTGGAGGATGTAAAAACTTCATTTTGCATTTCCAAGCAATGTAGATAGATCTAAAGATGTCATGAACCATCATGTATTTGCCCATATCTGACTAATGATTAAATTGTAAAACTGCGGAGTTTCATATTAAGACTAGTCTTTTCACCTGCTTTGAAAATTAAAATTCACATTTGGTATAAACACACACAGTGTTCTTCTGATCTAATTTCAAAAGCGTATCCAGGAGTAAATGTTTTTAAGCACTGCTAATACTGTAGTCTCTGTAAAAGGAGCAGACACTTCTAAAGAAATGTTAAAGTTGTCTTTCATAATTCAGTCAACAAATCAGTTTTGTAATAAATTAAAGCAAATGTTCTCCGTTAGAAGAGCTAGTGGCTGTTGGTATTGTGCGCGCGCACGCACACGCACACACACACACACACACACACAAATCATTCTAGTATCCAAAAGGGTTTTTTATTGTTGTTTTATTAAAGGGAGATTCTGACATTGTTTTATTAAACTAGTTTCATTTTGAGGTTGTAACTGAAGATAATGGCTTCTGTGTTCTATGGATGCTTGAATTCTTCATACATAATGTCTACTAATGTCACAGTGCTGCTGTATCTAGATCAAACCACTGTTTTGTTTTGTTTTTGCTTTTGTTTGGGGATTTTTTTTTAGAAAAATAAATTCTTTAATTTAAATACATTAAAATTACTCACATTTCCCTCCTTTTTTTAATTGGACAGAA